ATGAAATTGACTTTTCTATAGGGACTCATATTTTGATAACGTCACGGTACCTGAAAATAATAATAGACCTATCGTACACGCAAAATCTTATTTTAATTCACATGTTAAATGAACACGTGTACAGCTGTGGCGGCTTCTTTGATGATTATCCAATCAACAATCTTAATCTTCTGACCACTAGCTGGCACTAAGGTGCTAATTAATTGATGAGATTAACTGAGTTAACTCACCAAAGTTATAATATTACAACAGACTACTAATGTATAGATTGTTCTTCAGTATATAAAACTATCATGTGAATATTATGCCGTATGTGTTGTGGATGTTTCGTTACGAAAGGAGTGCATTTATTACCATTTTTGTCGTCAGCACCCTTGAAATCCTAAATAAAAAACATATTAAACGACAAAATAGCAAATAAATTGCGGAAATAGTAGGATCAATTTTTTACTACAATTTTCATCTTCAGCACCCCTGAAAACCCATGGAAAGAAATATTCAACGACAAAACAGCAGATAAATGGCCTAGTTGCTATGGGATTTTGTTTTGGAACATACCAAATCTTTGACATACTTTTTCTCAAAACTTGCTTTTGTAAGTTGGGTAGCTTCTAATGGACACAGTTCAGTCAATTTTTGCCCAATTCAAACAAAGTATACATCAAATTGAAGGTAATGAATTAGAGAATGTGAAAATAACAATAACTCAATTTTCAAAATTTCCTCATTGTGACTCAGTATGCTATAGGGGGTCACAAATATTGAATGTACATTTTTAAAGGGAATAACGTTCTGGGAATTCGAAGCTACATTAGGTCGTGGTTAATTAATTGTCAGTTTCTCATGACCTGAGTTTGTGAAATATACATGCTGCATGCGCTAATTATTAATTATTGAGATGAAATTTAATTTTTTTTAGCTTAATGCTGTTTCTATTTCAGCAATAACTAATGTCAGTTACTTGGTCGTTGAAAAACCAACGGTAACCATTTATTAAATATTTTTATAGATTAAAATATTGGTTGCACAATAGCCGGGTATCGGAAGACTTGATCATAATACATGTAATAGGTCTAAATTATTACTGATACGCTTCTAAGTTAATGGTTCGTTAATTCATTCATTCTTGGCATTTCATTTCTTTATCCGTCCTTACTTTGACAGGTTACGAAATGACCTGTTCCAAACTGGTTGATGATTTGTTCTGACATAGATAATTAAAAGCATACCCTTGGATTTTTAAATACAAAATAAGTTAGATTATTTAACAGGTCAGTTAAAGAATTTACTACACACGTGGTCGTTTCTCTAGCCGTGAAGGAAGATAGTACCAATGCTATGGTAATAGCCCGTACATGTATGTTTATGCTTCAACTTTGAACACATCATCGGCACATGGCATCACGATAATATAAATATTATTATTTTGTCTATCTTAATCAAACTGTTTCCATTTATTTGTATCTTTGTGTCCTTTTGAGACTGTTTGTATAGTGTTGTTAATAAAATACGGTGAAAGGCGTGAAGCATTGTCAACCAGTCCGTATTTCATGATCAAGACTATCTCATGGCGGCAGTTCTGGGACCGTTGGTTGCTAGTCACTTAAATAAAATAATTTAGCAAGAATTAAGACATTTATATCTTTCTGTGAATTTTATTACAAATGACAAGTGCCTTATAGAGTATATATGTGGTCTTTGGTGACCTACATGTACCATTTCTTGGTATGGATGACAGATATGATATGGCTTTATCACTTCCGGTTTTACGGATGGACTCTGTGTATTTTTTCACATTCTAGCCTACTTTACTTATCACCTACGGTTTCATGGTCATCGATAAATAGTTGAGTTTAATGCGTCAATTCATTGTTCATATTTAAAGGCATACAAATATAGTTTTAAAGGACAAATTTTGGACATCACTAAATTTGACCAAATAATTATGGGCCATACTATATACCGGAAAACACTGGAAAACAACCGGAAAACACCATTTTATACTGAATACCGGAAAAACACTAAATACCGGAAAACATCCTAAATACCGGACAACACCCTAAATAGGTAACCCGGGGTAGAGAGGAAATGGTCTGATGCAACAAGGTCGTTCTGTTTTAGTGGTGAATCCCGAATCCCGAATAACGTACTGGCTCGTTATTCGGGATTCGGCAATACAACTACCGTGGGGAGCAGAGAGGAAATGGTCGGATGCAACGTAGGTCGTTCTGTTTTAGTGCCGAATAACGAGCCAGCACGTTATTCGGGATTCGGCAATACAACAGGTAATTGCTGGAGATGACTGTCCCGTGCACTTTAACAAACCAGTCAGCACCCTATTCGCTCGACAAATGGTGGTCTCCTTGTGAGTCGGTCACCCAACGTACCCTTACCCCTACGGTCAGGGGTTGCGAGGAGATGGTCGGATGCAAGGTAGGTCGGTCTGTTTTAGTAACAAGCCAGCACGGTATTCGGGATTCGTGAATAACATGCCAACGAAATGGATGCCACGCAATTCTCAGACAGGCTGTAATCTGAAAAGTGTCTATCCTTTCCAAGAGCTATCCATCTCGTTGGAAGGGCTAAAAATCTACTTGTTTCTGAGCTTACTTTCATTCCAGGGTCAAATATAATCACTTGAACCATAATAATATTCAAAATATTCCATCATATTCCGAGGGCCACACACAGGATTTTTTTCTTGATTACTTTTCGAGCTTTTTTCCCCAACTTGTTGACCAGTTTTCCTTGAGAAAACCCCAACTTTCGCCCTATTGTCCATGAGAAAACTACATATTTTATCTTACTGTATGTCCCCGAGAAAATTTTTTTTCCGACAATCGATATTCAAGATGTTTTCTGTTGCACAAATTATGCTGCACTGTGTAAGAACTTTGATCTGAAGATTGTAGATGGAAAAGTATCATTCGCACTATTTCAAAGTAAACCTGCATTGTCGTATATCATCCTGTAATTTGTGATTAATGACAATGACTGTGGAAATAATATGGTTTGAGGAGGAGATTTATGTTTGTCACGTGACTGGACAATTCACCCCCGTCCCACCCTGACAATGATCCCTTCCGGAGCGGCGCGGCGGGCTCTGTAAAAAAATGTCGGGCACAGTTTACTCTTCTAAGTTTTCCGGTAGCTATTTAGTAACCCGAAGTTTGGTCCTCGTGTGTGGTTTTGGACCAGGTGAGCGCTGATGAAATAAGTTCATTAACATACAAGCGAGTGATTGCCTACGGTCAAAGAAAAATTTGTTTTCAGATTTTTTTAAACAATTTCTTCTCCCAAATTTCTCTCAAAAACAATTCAAATTTTTTTTCCAGTATTTTTCTCTGTAAAGTTATTTTCTACCGAATGTTTTTTTGTAAAACCAATTTTTCAGAAAAATTCGAATTCTTTTTTTGTGAGATAATTTTTTTCGTCAAAAAAAATTTTGGAGAAAAAAAAATCGGAAATTTTTTATGGGGGGTGGGGGCTATTTGTAAAACGAACATTGTAATGAGCTTCACCTTCCTTCATCGGTGCTCACTTGGTCCAAAACCGCACACAGAGGATCAGGCTCCGGGTTACCTATTTAGGGTGTTTTCCGGTATTTAGGTTGTTTTCCGGTATTTAGTGTTTTTCCGGTGTTTTCCGGTATTCAGTATAAAATGGTGTTTTCCGGTGTTTTCTGGTTGTTTTCCGGTATATAGTATTGCCGAATAATTATGGAAGTGCGTAATTATTACGGATGAAAACGGACATGCGGGCAGGTCATGAGAAACAAACAATTAATTAACGCGGCCTTATAATAATACTTCTGGTTTTCGAAGTTACAATAATAATTCCGGCTTTGAGAAAACTGAGTAATCCCATACGATCTCGGATTTGACAAGAGTCCACTGTAGTTGCCATCCTTAGGCTATAAGGAATACTTATACCAAGTTCCAAGACGATCCATTAAAAATTGTGGCCTATAAGCAACACATAGACACACAAAGAAAAAAATGGGTGTGGCTCAGCCCCCAGGAGTCGGCCATTCACCAAAAACAGTAGGGATCATCCTTAAGTAGGGTATAAGGAATAGGTATGCAAAGTTTCAAAAGGATCTGTTAAGAATTGCGACAATAAGGTGACACAAAGGTACACACAAAATTGGGTGTGGCTCTGTCCCATGGGGTCGGGCATGCACCAAAAAAAATAGCGGTCATCCTTGTATAGAAAATAAGTATGAAAAGTTCCCAAGACGATCCATTAAGAATTGTGGCCTATACAGAAACACAAAGAGAAAATGGGCATTTCTCTGACCTTGAGGGTTGGGCATGCACCCAAAAAAAATGGGGGTGATCCTTAGTGTGTAAGGAATAAGTATACAAAGTTTCAAAATGATCCATTGAGCAGAGTTAAGCAGTTTGATTGGTTGAGACTTTGGAACATGATAACTTTGGTTCTAATTGGGTGATAGTAATGACAAATTTTGGGTATAAATTCATTATATCAATACACTGACTAAGTTCAATGATGATAATTTTCTGCTTAGGCTAAGTAGGGATAAGCCATTTTATTGGTCAAGATTTTGGAACATAACAACATAGTTGAGGTATAGATGTTAATTAGGCGATTGTCTTGATTGAGTTCAATGATTAATATTTCCCATTAAAGCTAAGCAGAGTTTATCTATTTCTTTGGTCAATGCTTTGGGACAAGATAACTTTGACATTACCAGTTACTTCAAAGCCTGAGTTTGATAGTGAACATTTTATGCTTAGACTAAGCATAGATAATCAGTTTGATTACTCGATAACTTTATACTTTTGAAAAAGATAAATGTGCAATTAATTAATATGTTTCATTTGTTTATTTTTGGATTTTGGCGGGGGACATCAGCCTCACTGTTGGCTTGTTTAAGAAGTCATTTTCGTCATGATGGGAACAACTGATAATCGACTTGAAAAACTGTACTTATCTAACTGTTTTAGAGTTTAACTTGGTGCTTATTTTTATTACAGCCCTGGCCAATACAAGGTGGTGAATGGGGTACAACAACTTGTAGTTACCCAGAAATTATAATAACAGGGTAAGAACTATTTATGGTTTTTATGCACCCACATTGAAATGTGGTTGTATATTGCCGTTGCCGTCCGTCGGTCCATCTGTCCGGTTAAAGTTAATATCCAATTGACTTTGAATTTATACACAGTGTTAAAGGTCATAAGACGCAGAATCCTATTGATTTTCAACGATTTCCAGTAATTACTGCCAAAGTTATGGCCCTTGACCTCTTTGAAAAACCTTTTAGAAGCTCTTGAGTCTAAAGAATCCTGTTCATTTTCAACGATTTCTGATAATTACTGCAAGAGTTAAAGCCCTTGATCACTTTGAAAAGTCTTGGCTAAAGTTAATATAAATTTTTTTAAGCTCATGAGACAATCAATCAATATGCAACAACACTTGTTGACTGCCCAGATGACTTAGCTGTTGTGGGCGTATGTTTCGTTACCTGGCGGGGGGTTGGATGGCTGAATGGTTAGCGCGCGCGCTGTATCATAAAGTCTGTCATTGAGTCGACTGGCGTGGTTTCGAATCCCCGGTTGTACGTGGAGTAGGGTCGCCTGTCCATCCTCGTGGGTTTTCTCCGGGTCCTCCGGTTTCCTCCCACTGCTAAAGACCCCTGCGCGCAAGCGAATTATGTAAATAAAATTAAACCAAATGTTAGTCCCGAAATGACCAAGTTTGTGTCGAGTGGACGTTAAACCCCATTTCTCTCTTTCTCTCTCGTTACCTGGCAACCTATCTTTTATGGATGCAGATTTTTTGACAGCAATTATATAAACGTGACATTTTATCCGTTGTAAGCATCTCTTGTGAACACACTACAGATTACTTTATCAACTGATCATTTTTAACGACCACATTTTCATGTGGATCTATTATGCCGTCGACCCTGTAAGTTCTCTGGATGTTCGGCCACTTGTAAAATGTTTTTGAGATTAGTGAAACGAAGAACCCTAGAATTAAAACAATTTCGAAAATGACTTCAACAGTTATGGCCAATGTTTCACTTCCTTGAATTTTGTGACCGCTTTATTAATGGTAAAAGTTATCATCTGATTCATTGTTCAAATTAGTAAATGAAATGAAGCCTGTTGAATTTAATAATTTCCTTTATATTTGTGGCTGTTGTTTAACTTTGTAGTATCCTGTGAACAGACTAAAACGACAAAAGTAATCATCCAATCTATTTGAAGTTTCTATTCATTATTCAAATTAATGAAACAAAGATAGAATTTAGGTTAATAATGTCTAAAGTTATGGCACTTTGTAGAAACTTGTGAACGCAGTCATCATCTGAACTGTTGCGATGACTAACGATTACGTAAAAATTTTATAATTATTGATACAATTATAGTTATTCATTCTGATTATGTCATATAATCTTCTGAATGTGTTGAGAATATTGTACAATATAAAGATTTTCTTTTTTTATATACAAGATTCACAATGCAACAACCATTATGGTTAGCTCAGACGACTTACCTGCTGTGTGGTTTCGTAGCCTGGCAACCTATCTTTACACATTTTGTAAAAAAACATGTAATTATTTAATTTGATAAATATTTATACATTTCAGCCATGCAGATGGTTCCCTTAAGTTTTGGGATGCTTCGGCAGTGACTTTACAAATTTTATATAAACTAAAAACTGCCAAAATGTTTGAAAAACCAAAGCGAAATGTAGATGTTCAAGATGAAGATCCGTTTGCTATACAGATAATATATTTATGTCAAGAGAGTAGATGGATGTGTGTAGCAGGAGCAACTCATGTCATGTTATGCAAGTTTTGTAAACATGAAAACACGATAGATATACCAGTAAGTTTTCTATGTAATATATTTGCTAGGAAAATATTGGCCATTTTCATAATTCTAGAAATCGCTAAAAACATTTCTATACGCCCACAATTTTATGTGGACATATATTGTCATCACCCCTGTCTGTCCGTCCAAAATTAGTTTGTGGAAATGATAATTGACACCATGTAGAACAGTAAACCTTCACAATGGCTATGGTTTCCATAATATAATTAGAAAAGGGTGAATTAAAGATAAATTAGTTAAGAGCTAAATCTGCCTATTACTGCAAGTCCTTTTGGCTTCAGATGTTATAGAAGTTACTAATTAGACCTTTATTTACATGACAAGCTCAAAATCAACTCTGTAGACACTCGGATGGGTTAGATACAGCTTGGATTTAAACAGTCGTCCATATAATTAAATCAACTGTCAATCAAATGATCGTCAATTCTCGGAGACAGTGCTTAGATAGTTGATGCCTATTTCTAGTCCAAACTTCCAACAGTGACGACTGCGTTCAGAATAAAGTAATTTGACTGAATTTTTCAATATTTTCTTTTTTTATCATCTATTTTTGAATTATTATAACAAGAATGGCCAACTCTTTATTAAATTTTTAACTAATGTATCTTTAAAGTTTAGTAGCAATCAGTAGTTTCTCACAATCTATTGGTATTTTACTTTAATTGACATTTTGTCATTTTATTGCACAGTATGATAGAAATTTAAAGTACACATACATGTCTTAGTGCGGCACTTATTGTCAACAAAACACAGAAATAGATATACAATTTTTAAAAAATGCATTAAGTGCTAAAATTACCAGTAATCTGAAAGTCAAGGTCAATACAATACTATTAGCCAAATGACAACATGTCATTCATAGTATTATCAGTGTTATAAAAAGAGCAACTTGTAGCTACAGGACCAACCACTGGCCTGATTTACGGAGTCAGCTATACCCAAACTAAATTAAGAATGCATCCATATGGAATGTATAAATTTATAGCAGATGTGTCTTTTTCCCTTATATTAGTTATGGTATAGACAGGTGTACTGGTATTTACACATATTATTTATTTATTCACTTTTATCATTTTATATTAGAAATATTTTAGATACTGTACTTAGCAACAGGTTTTAAATTTATATTATTGATTTTATTACCAGTACTGCATTTCTTGTGTCCATGTTAACATGAAGAAGGTTACATAATACTTGATAGTGTCTTGTCAAACAGTCAGTGGTTTCTAGTTAAAAAATAACACAAACAGATTGTGTTCAGATGGTGTTTATCAAACGATGTTAATCTATGTTGGTATCCCTACTGTGATGCAAGACCTCTTGAGATTTCAAATACTTAATATGCAAATGTTATTTCAAATATATTTGTGATATACATTTTCATTGTCTTGAGTTAAGACGTCTCATATGCCAACAAATCATTAGAACACAATTTTCTATCCTACCTAACTGTAGATAAATTTAATGGATCTCATTCGTTGGTTCAACGCGTTTGTGTTACCAAACAGACAATTTAGACAGTTGTGCTCACATGACTAACTAGTCACTATTCATGTGCATCATATGGGATAGCAATCTGCTCTGGCACATGATTTTTCTCGACTAATAAAATCGCTGACTGTGAGACTTTAGATTTCCACTTTAGTCAGTCTGTTTGACTGTCCGCAACAGTTTTCCAGACTTTTTTACATTATGCTTCAAGATCTTGTGACAAAATTGTAGGATACTTTCGTTATGGTTGGTCTTCTGGTCTGTGGAATTGACTTAGATATAGTTTTCTATATAACTCTTTCTGTTGTGTTTTAAAGAATGGAAAAAACATTTTATAGGTTCACATATGATGAGATACATGTACATTTTCGTCACCTGGGTATGTCCTTGTGTCCAAAATTTCTTGTGAACACTCTACAGGTCAGAGTTCTTGTCTGATTTTTCAATATCATATTTTCAATGATGCTTCAGTCATTAGGAAGAAAAAACCCTAATGAAATTATAGATTACCTTCCCATTACAATAAGGGGCGATAAGCAGTTTGATTTGTCAATGCTTTGGGATATGATAACTTTGTTTCTAACTGAGTGACAGCCATGATACCTGGTGTATTGTTTAATTGTCCCCCGCCTTTCGAAGAAAGCAGGGGACTATTAAAATGGGTTCGTCCGTCTGTCTGTCTGTCCGTCTGTCTGTCCTTCTGTCTGTCCGTCTGTCTGTCCGTCTGTCTGTCCGTCCGTCTGTCTGTCCGTCACACTTTTTGGGACACAATAACTCTCTTCCTAATTGAGCTAGAATGTTCAAACTTGGTGTATGTGTTTATTAGGTCAATGCCTTGATGGAGTTCGAAGATGAGCATTTTCCGCTTAGGGTAAGCAGAGATAAGCAATTTGATTGGTTGATGCTTTGGGACACGATAACTCTCTTCCTAATTGGGCTAGAATGTTCAAACTTGGTGTATGTGTTGATTAGGTCAATGCCTTGATGGAGTTCGAAGATGAGCATTTTCCGCTTAGGGTAAGCAGAGATAAGCAATTTGATTGGTTGATGCTTTGGGACACGATAACTTTTAATTGAGCTAGAATGTTCAAACTTGGTGTATGTGTTTATTAGGTCAATGCCTTGATGGAGTTCGAAGATGAGCATTTTCCGCTTAGGGTAAGCAGAGATAAGCAATTTGATTGGTTGATACTTTGGGGCACGATAACTCTCTTCCTAATTGAGCTAGAATGTTCAAACTTGGTGTATGTGTTGATTAGGTCAATGCCTTGATGGAGTTCGAAGATGAGCATTTTCCGCTTAGGGTAAGCAGAGATAAGCAATTTGATTGGTTGATGCTTTGGGACACGATAACTTTAGTTCTAATTAAGTGAGATTGATGAAACTTGGTGTATAGTTTCATTACAGTAATACCTTGACTAAGTTTGATAATGAGCATTTTCTGCTCAGGGTAAGCAGAGCGATACGCAATTTGATTGGTCGAGACTTTGGAAGTAAAGATATACTGTTTGATTGTTCAATACTTTGTAAAAGATAATTTGTGATAAATTTATATGTGTCCTCTAATTATTTTCCTATTTCGGCGGGGGACATCAGCCTCACTGTTGGCTTGTTATATTAATACTTTGACTAAGTTTGATAATTAGCAGAGCAAATAAGCAATTCGATTGGTCGATATTTTGGGATACTACTATAACTTTGAATCTAATTAAGTGAGAGCCATGAAACCTAGTGTATAGTTTCATTACATCAGTAGCTTGACAAAGTTTAATAATTAGTATTTTCTGTTCAGGTTTTAAAGAAGAGTAATAAACAATTGGATTAGTTGGGAGTTTGGGGCACAATAACCTCAATTTTGATCGAGTGAGATGGATGAAACTTGGTGTATAGTTTCATTACAACAGCTCGAAAAAGTTCAAACTTCCATCATGCACATTTTCTGCTTAAGCTAAATTTGATTGCTCAGTAGTTTAGAACAGGATAAATATGCTAATCTGATAATTACTTAATAATGATTGTTGCTCTTGATCAGTTTTTAGTGTTTTGTAAATGACTTAGCTCCTGTGAGCATATGCTTCATTGTCTGGCAATCTATCTTTAATACTTGTTTGTGTGTGGAAAAGAGTTCTTTGGGTGATTTTTTAAAACTTAGTTACATTTGTTCAAATTTACTCAGTGGGTTTTAAGACAACATTGATTTTAGAGCTAGCACAGATGACTTAGCTGCTAGTGGGTGTATTAGATCGTGTGATATTTACGTTTGGGTTGTATTTCTATACAATCATAGTTTACTAAAGATTTGATGGTAACTGGAAGGGACATGTATTTTTTGAGTAACGTGTATTATGCATGTAAAGATAAGATTAAAGATTGTGGTCATTATGACCTATGTCAAGATAATCTATCAGACACATTTTAGACATTAATTTTAGGTCAAGTGAAGTACAAGTATTTGATTATTAATAAAAATTCTCTCTTGGGACTGGTTTCATCAGATTTTTCTTGTTTCTTCACCAGATAGCAGGAATTCAATAAGATTAAAGGCAATGAACCATGAAAACAGTCTAGCGATTTAAAATGTCTATAATAAAGACATACAGTATGTCTACCATGTGGCATTTACACAGATTTTATCCTACACTTTTTATTTCATTCATAAGATACAGTATGTCTACAGTCTACGATACTTATGAATTCTTCTTGTTAATGCATTTTGATTCAGTCATTGGATGAGTTATTCTGAGCTACACTGTCTATATTGCGCAAGCTATTGGTCATTGACCTTAGTCTCAGTTATGTTTTAGTGAATAAAATTTGGGATGAAAGATACCTGCAAACCTTTATCCTAGTCCTTTACAATTAACTGAAGCTTTTTAATACTTTTCCAAGAAATAAAAACTGGCTGGAAAATTGTGAGGAACTTTCTCGCCAACGCCCGGATTGAACCCAGGTCTTTGAGGTTAATGAGCCAGTTCTTATGCAATGAGCCACATTGTGCTGATAAAGTCTGTATAGATATTAACATAGACGTGCCCCCTTAGAATCGGAAGGGGGGGGGGGGTGAATAGGTCTCTGTCCCCCCCCCCCCCCATGATTTTGATCGCCAGGACAGATTTTCAGGTTTATATCCACATGATGGTGAGCTTGTTTCTACGTATCTGGAACTGAATCGAGACTTGGAACAAGAATTGCCATTTTTCAAGCGCCAGTTTTCGGCCAAATCTATTTCACTTGTGCACGAAGCGTTCCTCATTGTGTCACCTGAAGTGAGGCAGACGTTCTCTTCTGTCGAAGATCTTCTCATCACACACTGCTGAACCCTGCTAGTTCCTGCTCAGCCGAGCGATCCTTCAGCACTCTGTGCTGTAACAAAACTTGGCTGCGCAACTCCATGACGCAAAACCGACTGAGCCACTTGATGGCGTGTACGGTGCATAATGACCCCCTTCATGTCGCCAAGATACTCAATTTTTCTATATTGTCATCATATTACCCCTAGTTACACTTACAGCCTTCATCGAAATAACACTGGTACAGAAAAACTGTTCGTAATTATTTATTTAGTTTGTAATGAAATGTTCCAAATTCCAGGATTCATTCGTCCCCCCAAATAGTTATGACAAATCCTCGCCCTTGGATATTAATGTTATGATATATATTGTATAATTTCAGATGTTAGAAGTATCGATTGTATATGAGATTAATGATGAGCTGGACTCACCAGAATATGACTATCCTAAACCAAGTCTCAGCGTGGTGGCAACCCAACAAAGTGGTAGCATGGGTTCTTATTCCAGCAATACTTCAGATTCAGGCAAAGTGAGTCATAACTAACATACTTTCATGTGTTTGGTGCATGATCAGTTGACACAATTGTTAGATTTCGTATGGACATCATAAAGTCAAACATTTTGTTTGTGAATTTGGATATAGATCATCTGAAAAAAAAAAAAGCAATTGTCTCATCAATTGAAGCCTGTTGATCTATCTGTTTTTTGTTTTTTTTAAGCCGACATTTTCATGGGGATGTATATTGTCGTCGCCCCTGTCCATCCACATTTTGTTGTGGACACTCTACTAGTTACAATTTTTATCAGATTTTGATGAAGCTTGAAATACAGGTTTATATGCCAAAGATCTTTTGGATATTGGCATGTATCGGACCCTAACTTCATGGATTATGGCCACTCATTTTAGTTTGTGGAGACTCGAAAGTTCACAATTTTTATCAGATTTTACAAACAGTTCAAATATATCTCCGAAATGATGGTTGAGTTCGAATTTCGTGAAAATCGGACCCAAATTTCCAGACAAAAGGGCTGCTCCTCGTATGCAAATAGTGTTAAAGTATGTAATACCAAGATTGTGGATCTCTAGATATCACAATTTTAATCAGATTTTGATGAAACTTAAAATATACATGTATGTTTAAATCCCAAAGATCTTGGTTTCATTCGATATTTACATGTCAGACTAACTTCCTTGACATTGTTCCTTGATTGTACAAAAAATCTTGTTTTTATTTTGTGGACATATATTGTCGTCACCCCTGTCCGTCCGTCCGTCCGTCCATCCATCTATTTATCCATCCACAATAGGTCTATCTCCCAAAGATCTTGGTTCCTTTTGATATTGGCATGTATCGGACCATAACTTCATGGATTATGGCCCCTGATTGTACAAAAAATCGTTTTTTTAGCTTGTGGTCCCTTAGAGGTCACAATTTTTATCCGATTTAAAAAAAAACGTTTTAGTATATCACCGTTACACCCTAATAATGGTCGAGTTCAAATTTCGTGAAAATCGGACAAAAACTTCCAGACAAAATGGCCGCCTCTTGTACGCAAATAGTGTAAAATATGGTATATCAAGGTCACAATTTTCATGAAACTTGGAATGCATGTTTATATCCCAAAGATCTTGGTTCCTGTCGATATTCGTGCATATCGGATCGTAACTTCCTGAATTATGACCCCTGATTGTATGAAAAATTCCGCTTTTAAATTGTGGTCCCTCTGGAGGCCACAATTTTTATCCGATTTTAAAAAAGTTTTAGTATATCACCGTTACACCCTAATGATGGTTGAGTTCGAATTTCGTGAAAATCGGACCAAAACTGTCTGACAAAATGGCCGCCCTTTGTACGCAAATCGTGTGAACATCTGGTATATCAAGGTTGTGGACCTCCTAGAGATCACAATTTTGTTTCATTTTTGATGAAACTTGAAATGTATGTTTATAACTTAAAGATCTTGGTTCCTGTCGATATTCGTGCAGATCAGATCGTAACTTCCTGAATTATGACCCCTGATTGTACGAAAAATTGCTCTTTTAAATTGTGGTCCCTCTGGAGGTCACAATTTTTATCCGATTTTAAAAAAGTTTTAATATATCACCGTTACACCCTAATGATGGTTGAGTTCGAATTTCGTGAAAATCGGACCAAAACTGTCTGACAAAATGGCCGCCCCTTGTACGCAAATAGTGTGAACATCTGGTATATCAAGGTTGTGGACCTCCTAGAGATCACAATTTTGTTTCGAATTTGATGAAACTTGAAATGTATGTTTATAACTTAAAGATCTTGGTTCCTGTCGATATTCGTGCAGATCGGATTGTAACTTCCTGAATTATGGCCCTTGATTGTCCATATAGAGGCTACAGTTTTTATCCGATATAAAAAAAAGCGTATGAATATATCACAGTTATACACTAATGATGGTTGAGTTTGAATTTCGTGAAAATCGGACAAAAATTGTACGCAAATAGTGTAAAAATATGGTATGTGAAGGTTGTGGACCCTCTAGAGGCCACAGTTTTTATCCGATTTGGATGAAACTTTAAATATATGTTTTATCATAAAAATCTTGGTTCCTTTTGATAATGACACATATATCGCAACGTAATTTCCTGAATTATGACCCCTAATTGGTCGAAAATCGCATTTTTAGCTTGTTGATTCTCTAGAGGTCACAATTTTTTTTACGATTTAAAAACTGTTAGATATTTCACCATTCCACCATACTGAAGGTTGAATTGGAATTTTGCGAAAATCGGAATGAAACTGCCCGACAAAATGGCCGCTCTTTGTACGCAAATTGTGTATACATGTAAGTATGTAATACCTAGAGGTCACAGTTTTTATCCAATTTTGATTCCAAAAATCTCAATCCCTTTTGATATTTGCGTATTTCAAACCATAACTTTCGGGATTATGGCCCCTGATTGTACAAAAAATCGTTTTTGTTTTGAGCTTGTTCTCTATCCATCTCTTGCAAAATGTGGGCATATCCTGCCTGGCAGCCGCTGGTTATCTGATTTAAAAACTGTTTTCACTGTAACACCATAATGACAGTAGAGTTTGAATTTTAAGAAAATTGGACCGAAACTGTCTGCAAATAGTGTACAAGTATGTAATACCAAGGTTGTGGACCCTCTAGATGTCATAATTTTTATCTGATTTTAATAAAGTTTAAAATATATGATTATATCCCAAAGGTCTAGGTTCCTATCAATACTTGCGCGTATCGGACTCTAACTTTCTGGCTATGACTGCTGTTTGTATGAAAATTCACTTTTTTTTCCTTTAGCTCGTTTTCTGTCCATCTCTTGCAAAATGTGGGCGTATCTTGCATGGCAACTGCTTGTTTGATATCAAACAATACTCGTAGGAGATTTTCTAGACATGTACATCCCAAAGGTCCTGGTTCCTTTGGATATTGATGCATGTTGGAGCGTAACATCCTGATTTATGACTCCTGATTGTACGAAAAATAACGTTGTGTCTTTGTGTGAATTAGAAAAATATATATACAATGCATGTGACAAACATTGTATTAAATATAATGTTGATTTAAATATTCATGTTTTACCAAAGGAACCACAGACATTAGTACGAGTTAAAGGTGGTGGTAGAAAATGGGGATCAGGTTATCATCCTGATTTAGTTTGTGTTTTAACTTTTGTTGATGGGGAACCACCAGGCAGTATAACCAGTGTATCAATAAATTCATCATATGGAGTGTAAGTAATTTAAAATAGTAATGGATTTGACTGACCCTTTTGATGCTATGTGGTGAAATGTTTTGACATGAAGTTTTATGCCTACAGTACCAATCATTTTAAACTGGCTAAACACTCTGTCACTTACTACAAGGGATGGGGGGGGGGTAATTTGAGAGGGTGCATGGTTTGTCTTTTGTTTTAGTGAAATAATTTTAATCATTAATTGTTTGCTGATAAGTCAAGCTGATCAGTCCAGAGAAATGGAAGTTAAGTTAAATCAGAGAATATAAGTAGTAATAACATGAAAGTCTATTCAAAAATGAAATTAAGATCAGTGTTTTGATCAGATTGGTAGGTAATGAGATTATGATACAGGTTGGATAGGGGAGGATATGGTTGCTGAATTATCTGAGCAGAAAAAGATAGTTATACTGTATGCAACATTTTTAATTGAAAATGAACATTGCAAATTTACTATAATCACTTGAATTATGAATATTGATCTAAAAATTTGAGGACCAATTGTTCTGACCAGCCACTTTGGGTTAATATGACCTAAGTCCTTTGAATACAAGTGTTGAACACAGTCTATGATAGGCATGAAATTCAAAACTCTTATCTTTGTAATTATCAGTAAGAATAGTTTTTTTAAGTTGTGTGTAAGCAGATTAATAAACTGAATTTCTTGAAATAAAACAAATCAATTTATAATTATTATTTTTACAGTATGGCATTTGGTAATGAATCTGGAATAGCCATCATAGATGTTATGCAAAAAACCTGCTTATTGAATTTAGGCACACCTGATTTATATGGTAAGATTATATATTCTTCTTTTGTTGAGCAAAGCAAAATACCTAATATAGTAACATTCTATTAGTTATGCATTATTTGTACATCGTATTCTTATCTGTGTATATACTCCAAAGCTTTATAACCATTCAGGTTCACTCTTATATTTTACTCTTCTCACGAATTTGTCAGATTGCAAAGAATACAGTGGACTCTGTCACATCCGATCTCGTACGGGATCGTTACAATAATTCGGATCACACAAAACCGGAAATACTGTAACTTCGAAAACCGGAAGTATTTTTATATTGTAGCTTCGAATCACCAGAATGCTATTCCCTTTATAAATGATAAACTTTTCTGTACTTTCAAAGTTTTATTACATTAAATAATTAACAATAACAATACATGCGTACAATATATTCATAAAATCATTTACATGTAATATCAATGCATGCGTACAATATAATATCAATGCATGTAGTCGTTTAAAGTAGTTTGCTTAAGATTACCGGAAGCATATCGTAAGGCGGAGTCCTGGACAACATCTTCTAACAAATTAATTGTTGGGATCATCTTTTTGTCCTTAATCTGTGCAAAGTGTTTAATGTCGTTGAGGATGCTTAGGCATTTTGAATAGGTCAAATCTGTCGTTAATGTATATTCTTCATCGTCCCCGTCTTCAGTCAATTGTACACTTGTCTTCTCTGTTACGTGTTCATTTATAATCTGTCGTTCGATGTCCAGTTCATCGTCACACTCGGTCGGTATTTCACTGTCAAAATTCACAAACTCGTCTTCACTCGCGTTGGTTTCAGACACCAAGGTCTCGATTAGTCTTGCCAGTGGCACATTGTCATCTTCATCATCGGGAGTTATGTCCACACTAAATCCACATCGATTAAAACACTTGCTGATTGTTGAAACGGTTGTTTCACGCCATGCTTTGGCAGTCCAATTTATAGCATTTAGCACAGTCACACCCTTCACCAAATCGCTGGCTTTACTACATTCATCTATTCGCGTAATCAAATGTGTCATCATATGATGTCTGTATCGTGCTTTAAATGCTCTGATTATACCCTGATCTAGTGGTTGTAATATTGATGTAGTATTTGGTGGCAAAAATTTAATATTTACGTTGCTGTACGTGTCACAGATATGTGACGGTGCATTGTCCATAAACAAAAGAATGTTACGTCGTTGACGCCTCATTTGACGATTTAGTTTTTCAAGCCAATCAGAGTAAATGGTACCTGTCATCCAAGCTTTGCGATTGGCCGTCCAATTGACTGGCAGGTTGATTTTGTCCACTCCCCTAAAACATCTTGGTTTCTCTGCTTTACGGATCACAAGAGGCTTTAGTTTTTCACCGGTTACGCTACAACAAAATAGGATTGTTAATCGTTCTTTAGAAATTTTTCCCCCAATAGTGCCCATTTTTATACGCCCACATTTTCATGTGGACGTATATTGTCGTCGCCCCTGTCCGTCCGTCCGTCCGTCCACAATTTTTATCTGATTTCAATGAAACTTGAAATATAGGTTTATCACCCTAAGATCTCGGTTCCTTTCGATATTGGCGTATATTGGACCGTAACTTCATGGATTATGGCCCCTGATTGTACGAAAAATCACGTTTTTGGCTTGTGAACACTGTAGAGGTCACAATTTTTATCCGATTTTGTTGAAACTTGAAATGTAAGTTTATAACCCAAAGATCTCGGTTCCTTTCGATATTATCCGATTTAAAAAAACGTATTATTATATAACCGTTACACGCTAAGGACGGCTGAGTTCGAATTTCATGAAAATCGGCCCAAAACTGACAGACAAAATGGCCGCCCTTCGTTCTCAAATAGCGTAAAATTATGGTATATCAAGGCTGTGGACCCTATAGACCCTATTTTGTTGAAACTTGAAATGTAAGTTTATAACACAAAGATCTCGGTTCCTTTCAATAATTGCGCATATCGAATTGTAATTTCCTGAATTATGGCCCTTGATTGTAGGAAAAATCACTTTCTTTTAAGCTTGTTCTCTATCCATCTCTCGAAAATGTGGGCGTATCCTGCCTGGCAGCCGCTGGTTTTATCACATAATGATCGGTCTGGTAATGCTCTAAAAAACAAACCTGTTTCATCACAAATAAAAATGTTTTCAGGAGAATAGCCTTCAACAATAGTCGGGATGCGCGCGCGGAATTCTTGAACGCTAGCGATGTCAACACCTGCACTTTCGCCACTAACTTTAAATTCGCAAAAAGTAACGCTTTACTCTTAATTATTGGACATGATATTGGAATGTTTTTATTTCTGCCGCGTACAAACCACTCATGTGTCATTCTGTTGACGTCTTCAAATTTTGAGTTGGTATAAAATCGTTTCTTACTGCAGTTTAAATTATAGGCAAACTTCTGTTTAAATTCATCTTTACGCTTTAATATGTCTGACACTGTAGCTCGGCCAATTGAATACTTAACGGCTAAATCCTTCTGCACAGGTCGTGGAACTTTCTCGAAATCTGCTATAATAAGTTGCCGCTTGACATCTAATGTCAAATCTGTTCGGGCACGCTTTGCAGGACAATCAGACATTTTGAATACAATAGTGTATAATGATTCTTCAATCGCGGCAATTTTTATATAATGTCGCGGTATTTGACATGAGTAACTAAAATCAAATACCAAGCGCACTCTTACAAGAGATTATAAATTGTAAAATAATCAACAAAGAATTTATAACATTATCAAAGTAATCAACACAGAGCGGCGCTTGTGAGTTTTAATCTCACCGATAATTGATTGGTGATTGCTTGTTAATCTTTTCTGGCTTCACACCCAATGAGTTTTAATCTCACCGATAATTGGATGCTTCACACCCACTGTTTGAAGTACGGATTATACGGTGTCGATTAAATGGAAATTATGTGACGGAACGGCTGATTGATTTCGGAATCTGGAACATACAGAATTCGGATTTACCAGCGATTTTTTGGCTGAAGTAATAAGGAAATAAATCGGGACATGAAAATCATGTCGGATGTCGTAGCAATCCGGAGTGATCAGAGATCGAATGTGACAGAGTCCACTGTACATCAAACTAAAACAGAATTGATATCAGATCTCAACTTCAGTATTTTATTGAAGATTCTTGCAAAACTAATTGCTTTTGAATGAAAACTTGTGAATTATTGTGAAAATCTATAAAGATTTAGACCTGATACTATGTATTAAAGTCCTGTTTATGTTGTGATTTCTAGGTTCGATGGATCCATATCAAAGAGCTCCACGGTCACCAAGAAATAAAACAACAGCTTCTGTTATTAACTCAGAAGATTGTAAATCACCTGTAGCTGATCAAGTAAGTTTAATATCAACATCAAAAAATTATACTTCCGTAATAATTTCCCAACTCAACTCTTAAATTAAATTAGAATACTAAATAGAATTGCTTTAAATATCCATCATTCCAAGTCCCTTTTTGACTTTCATTCCAATTCCCCCCCCCCCCTCTCTCATCATGTGTACTCTCATGAACATATAAGAGATTCTGGATAGTGATGTTATGTGAAATTCTAACATTAAACAAATATTTGAATATTATTTATATATATATATATGATTACTAATTAATTGATCCATTGACTGTTGTTCTAGTAAATGTATCTAATGTGTTGATGTTTTTGCACCAAATGGTATTATAATACTTTTACCATCGTAATTGAAATATATATGTTGTAATTTCATCGTACAAGTAAATCGTCATTTCTAAGCGTACCTACAAAAAAACCCACAATTATTTTTTGTTGTGTTTTTTTTTTATTTTGGATTTTTTATCATTTTAAAAATTATTTTTTGTTGAATTTCGTCTTCAAAATTGATTTTTATATACCCACATTGAAATGTGGTCATATATTGTCGTCAGTTCAGCATCCCTAATTGCTTGTTGATGCTCTAGCGGCTGAAGTCAATATCCGATTGACTTTAAATACACAGTGTTTAAGGTCATGAGATGAAGAATCCTATTGATTTTCATCTATTTCTGATAATTACTGCCTGAGTTATGGCCCTTGATCACTGTAAGGGCTACAGTTAATATCTGATTGACTTTAAATTTACACACAGTGTTTAAGGTCATACAACGAAGAAGTCCATTGATTTTAAACAATTTCGGATAATTACTGCGCGAGTTATGGCCCTTGATCACTTTGAAAAATCTTGACTATATTTATACAGTGTTTAATGTCATGAGACTAAGAAGCCTATCAATTTTCAATGATTTCCCATGATTTTGGCAATTGATATTAAATGCTTTGTATGCTAAATAGGGCAGAACTCCAAATGGGTGGTTACTAGTAATCAGATTTTAGTGTGTTGTAAATATTTTCATTTCTGACAAAAGAAAAAATATGTGACAACCCTTGTTGACTCCCCGGATGACTTAGCTGCTGTGGGCGTATGTTTTGTTGCCTGGCAACCTATCTTATATTTTACTTCTCAAATTTCTACTTTGATTTCCCATTTTAATTGTTTCGAAACCATAAAAAAATCCCACGGCTTTGTTTCACCATAACTCTATGTTAATTGTAACAGTCTGGTTTGTTTTAATTTTTTAATTTTTCCTTCTTTATCTTTAGTTGCCTTTGTGTAATTGTTGTTTTGTTTTGGTGTTGGTTTCAGTCGACACCTTGTCCACCTGATTTAGTTACACCCATTCCACCACCTAGACGTAAATCTAAAAAAGCGGATGTGGATCAACATTCAATGCCTGCCGTTACTAGTGAAATTTGCGATGAAGATATCAATAATGAAATTCCATTTACACCATATGTAGTTATTCCCCAAAATGGAGAGATAAATACACCAAATGTTTTTATGAATGATATAAATAAAGTTAATAACAGGGATGAGAATAGTAAAGAAATATCGGAATCTGTAGAAATATGTTCCAAAGATGATAATAAAATAAAGAATAAACCAAAGGTTAAATCAAAAAGTACAAGCTGTGTTGAGAAAAAATCAAAAGGATTAAAGTTAGATATAAATAAAAAAACACCTCTCACTAAGACATCATCAGACGAATCCGATAAGCACGTTAAAATTGAGGCTCCTGTGACAGCCATCATAAGTAATAAACCACACCCTCTATTGCGACGAACTTCTTCGGATCCGGATCCCAGTGTTGGCGTCCCTACGCCTCATAGAAAAATTTCTCAACATGAACAACTGCAAAAGTTGAATTTAACTTCTGAAGAAGAAAGTGAATCCGAAAGTAAAGATGTGTTTGATATTAAAAATAATAATCATAAAATGGCCACTGATAAACATACCACTAGTCATGATAACCATACTAAAACTTTATTGCGCAAAATGAGCACCAAAATGAGTCTTAAAATACGTCAGTTAGCTGGTATGAAAAACACAGAGAATGATGATTCTCATCATGCCCATAGACATTCAGAAAAAGAAAAAGAGAAACCGAAAAGCAGCTTTAAAGTAGATGTGGTTGATTTAAGTTCCGAAAATGCCCACAAGCCTTCGGTGAGGCGCATGAGTGTATCTGATATCTTACACAGTTTAAAAGTAGGTAGGTATATACTTCAGTACCTGTCGTATGTATTTTAATGGTAATGTTTTTATCTGTGGTGTTTGATATTTTATCCATGTTTTTGGCTTTTTTCAGGGTGAGATTTGCTTCCCTTGCACTAGATCTGGGAGAGAAGTGAATGTTTCTCTTGTATATGGGTTTCATCTGGTTTTCATGTATAGTCTTTCAGAAGGAAACTGCTCGGGGAATTTCTTATTAAATCAAAATTTCAAATTTGGATGAAAATTAGATTGTATTTATAAAGAACATTTAGATAGATCTATTACGTTACACTCCAAGCAGTTTTCTATATTTGCTTATTTTTAGATTCACTTCAGTGTTTCTGTCTGTAGAATTTGGGCAATGCGATTATTTTGCATGAGCATGTATTGGTTTGTGATGTTAGGTTTTGAATGGTATTTGATTTGGAATTTGATTTTAACCTTGATTTCTAGATTAACGGTGTGTGTTTGAGTCCTACGAGTTTCAAACAAAAGAGACAACATCCTCCGGCAATACAGCGGACAAAATCTCAAGGTACCACCCAAAAATTGAAGAAGGTTCAAAGTGTGGCGTCTGTGGAGGAATCGAATGGTGGAGGTGCCCGGCTTTATATTTTAGTTGTAGTGAAATGTTACTTAAACCCCATGATGTTCATCTTACCTATTCTTTTAATACTTCTCTATTCCCTTAAAAATAAACATAACACATAATTATCTATGTGGCATGATTAAAGTCTGGTGATTTTTTGTCAGCAAAACATGCAGTGCTGTCACTTTAAAAGAAATAAATAAATCACCAACTAGAAAACATTTTTCTAGACATTATCTGGCTGTTTCATTTTCTGACCACTGACCCTTTCTTGCACAGTTTAGGCTATTATTTTACTAAATTTAGCATTTTAAAACTCTTTGAAATTATAACAGTATATAAATACTCTATATCTATTGGATAGAAAAAGTATCCCAAAATGGTTTCATGTTGTCTAGTGTTGTGTTTTGTGAACCTTTTTAATTGGATTTTTACACATGAGCACATTTATTACACTGTCCTAAATATAGTTCAAAAAGTGTTGTGATATATTTTATAGTAACATATAATAAAAACATTAAGACATAATACATGCAGACATTATTTTCAGTTAAAGTATAGACAACAAAGAGTGGGTGTGGTTTAAACAACAGTGAGTTATATATAGTAAAGAAATTGCCTATGTTATGTGCCTGAAAGTTTAACCTCAAAAATATTGAGCCACTTTAATTGCTTAATGTGATTACGAAACACAAAGAAAGAATCTTGGCTTGTAGATTATGTCCAAAAGGTGACCTGATAAATGCTGCTTTCAAGAAAAGATTTTGCTTTTCACTCAAAAAGTGATTGATTGTATTTATTTGAATAATTATTACAAATCTTTAGGATAAACTTTTCTACGAGTCTTTCACACAGAATTAACCAGTTTCTGTCACAGACATATATCTGGTATGGCTCATTTAATTTCATTGATGTATGAACATTTATACAAACTTAGAAAAAAGGTTAGAGTTAATTCTACTTTAATTCACTTTATGTAATGAACAAAATAATACCTATAGATAATATACAGTGTTTTACAAACTTTGATTCACCTATATACATGTATATTTCACACCTTAGTAATGTGAATGACATCATGGGGTAGAGTAACTCTTGTACTTTTATATTGGATTTTGTTGTTAAATATTGTTGATGAGGAATCTTCCCACACCGTCAGTTCATAGTTGTATCATCCTTTTGTTGTTATTTTCAAATATTTTTTAAATGTTCTTTTATAGCTGGTTTGTTTAAATTATGGAGGCTTCTAGTAAGTGGAAGACAGATTTACAATACATTATTATCATCTTCCAATTTAAAAAAAGAAAAAAAAAAAAGATTTTCCACGTCTGCAAGAGGGGCACTTTTTAGTTGGTTGTGTTCAGTCATGGACCCTATGATCTATTATAAGGTCAACACAATTCAATTTAGGAGTAATAACCATCTTCTGAAAGAGTAGAAGAAAGTCCTTATCTTTAAAGAGTCAAAGCGAACTTGCTTAATAAATTGTGTTACAAATCATGTATACATCCTCTTGACTTAGAAAAAAGAAGTTAAACACTGTGTTTCCATGATTTTTATGATCAGATCTATTATTTATATAGATGTTTATGATATTAATGAGTTAGGTAGAGTATCTCTACATAGCACTAATTATATTATTTATTCGCCTACCAAAATATCTGTGGATTGTGGTCTTATATTGTCATTGCCAAAACAAGTCTGGCCGTGCATTAATTGAACAATTGTTGTCTTTGTCATTACATATGACAACACCAGATTTTAGAAAATCCATTTAAAAAAATTGTAAAACATTGTACAGGCTTATTCTAGATAAATAACAATGAATTTGTGACTGAATACCTGGCTGGATCTTAAAGTTTGATGTGGGTGTATGTATGGTTAGAAAAGATTTAGACATGATTGAATTTCTTCTAAGGAAAGAGGATGTACCAGTAGATAATTTAATTTTCTTTTGTAGTTTGTAAAACTTCTAAATTCTTTTTATCTTTTCTTTATCTAAATTTTATTTACCTCTAGTTTCTATAACGGAACAGAATTATTACAGTTTATTTTGTGATCTGCTGCATGTTTTTATTGTAAATAGCAAAATGATCCAGCTTTATATAAAATGAAAGTTTGGTTATTTCTAATTATGGGCACCTCTAAACACATTTATCACATTATATTTTATGTTGTAAATAGTTGATTGGCTGCAATGTCAGATAGTTTATAATTATCAGAAATAATATTTGATGAAATATTTGGTTCAAAATCACATTATCATTTGATAAAATAACAAGAATAGTGCAAATTTGAAACATTGCCTTTTTATATGCCAACAATTTCATGTGACCGTATTATGCTGTTGCCCCTGTCCGTCCGTACATTCATTTGTTTATATTTGTTTATTGACACTCTACAGGTCACAATTTTTTTCCAATTTTGTCGAAACTTAAAATATATGGTTATATCCCAAGTATCTTGGTTCCTTTTGATATTACATGTACCGGAATATAACTTCATGGATTATGGCGCATGATTCTATGAAAAATTTTAAGTTTTATCTAAATTGGATAAATTTTTTTTTATCCAATTTAGATAAAACTTAAAATATGTGTTTATATCCCAAAGATCACGGTTCCTTACTATAGTCGCGCATATCTGACCGTAACATCTTGGATTATGACCCCTGATTGTACAAAACTCATGTTTTTAGCTTGTGGACCCCCTAGAGGTCACATTCTGAACCACTGGGTTCATGAAAGGTCCAGCCGATTGATAAAACAATGAACTGGCCACTATGGTATATCAGAAATCAATTACAACGGATTAATAATTACTCGTTGATTAAGAAGTCAATCAACTTGCTTGTCGGCTGCAATAACAAGTTGCCTTTGTGGAAATAAGCCATTTTGGCAATGAGTGTGAATCTCGGGAATCACGCCGTCTTTGACGCTCCGTATGAGTTCTGGGTAGATATTAAAATAATAATTGTATCATACATTTGGTGGTTTCACTGACCAGTTAAATATAATCGCATGATACAACACCGAATATCCCGAGAAGCAGTCATTAATGATATATTTTTCAGACAGAATCTTCAATGCCTAATCCCGATGACGCGTGACATGCATCTGTTGGGATTAGGTAGATTCAGTTTTACATAGCATTTACCGTAAAGATTTTTTATTTTATACACATGCTGACAGACGTTTAATATTAAAAATATTGTCATTATTATTGAAGGATATGGCATATTTGTACAGAATTTTATTTACCGTAAAGATTTTTTATTTTATACACATGCTGACAGAGGTTTAATTTTAAAAATATTGTCGTTATTATTGAAGGATATGGCATATATGTACAGAGTTTTATTTCGGACCCAATCGATATATATATTTAGCATTCTGCAACCTTCCATTTCGTAGTTACCCCCTTTTTTGAAAACCTTGTGAAAACGATAGAGGGTTTATTTCTAATCCAATGTAAAGCATTGGAACAATGAGAGAATGACCCCCGTTTCCCAGTTCTCCGTCCATCTATTGCAAAATGTGGGCGTATCTTGTATGGCAACCGCTTGTATAAAGTATCAGGTACTCTATTATTTGAATAAAACATGAGTTTCAGGCTGCTGTAATGTATATATAAAATTTGTACAATGTTCATGGGATTTTATAATCTCAGTGGCCTACTACTGTGATCTCTCTTTTTGATATATTATGGAAGTAAACTATAAATAGATGTTTGTTCCCAAATGTTTTAAAGTATAGAATAAGACAATGTCTTTTTTATTAAAGAAGATTTGAATTTATTTGATTTTTATATTATTACAGATTATTATTAATTATAATGTGTTATATATAGCCTTTGTTTTCCCTGATAATGTAATATAATATCTTTACATGTAAATTTCATTCATCTATATCTGGACAGATTTGTGTTTGTTAATTTTGAAAATACATGTAATAAATTTCAATAAGTAATTTTAAGCATTACTATTATTGCACTCAAATTATCTGATTTATTGGGAAGCTTACCTTTACACTTAGATACATTTTTGAACATTTTGTCTAATTGTGTAATATATGTTTTTCTTTTAGATCGTAATGATGGGTCATCATTTTCTCGATCCCGTAGTTCTAGTATGTCTAGTATAGAAAATGTATCTAAAGAAGCCATTCAATGTTTAACATTTGCTGACTCATATACTCGCAAAACAGGTAAAGATTCTTACGATATTATTGTTAAAATTGCTTGGTTTTGATTATTATTTACATTCCTTGTACAGATGTTCAATGTTAAGGATACAATTATGTTTCAAATTTTCCACTAGAATTTCATGACGTGATCATTTGTTCATTTACTTTCCGGTCATATCAGTAACTATATATAGGGTGTCCCACGCAGTCAAAATTTGCTCTATTAATAATTAAACTCACCACAGTAAATGTTCACTCTTAAATGTGAGTTCTCATGTGATTACAGGCTATAGAATGCACGCAGCATGAGAATAATTCGGGGTATGTTCTATTAGGCTATAAATAACCATCACACATGAATTTTTCTACACATCTATCGACTATTAAAGCCGTAAAAAATCTTAGTAAAAAATCTTATTAACGATACTTAGCTTTTTGGTTGTTACAGCAGCTTTAGAAACTTAGCTATATCGTTCAGAGTGGCATCTTTTGGTTTGGTACCATTAATGACTCCAACGCTCCGTCATTAGACAAGAATAGAATACTAGTAGTATTTTCTTTTTGCTTTTACAAGGTTCTCAAAACAATTGTTGAGTTGCCTAACTCAAGAGTTACTTAATTAGATTTATCGATCTAGCTTTCTGTAATGTTATATAGAAAATAGTCTTGATTATCCTGGCCTGTCTATTTTTTCATTACGAGATATTGTGGTATAATTGTCAAAATACTTGGATATATCTATTTATGGTGGGGGCACCCTACTATATAGTTTGTGTTTGTTTTATTTTCAGATAATTTTACATGTCCATGTTTGTATGTGGGAACCAGTCTAGGGTCTGTGATAGTTATAGTTTTAAATTTACCAACTTCAGAGGAACAGAGAGCAACACAACCAGTGATTGTCTCTCCTAGTGGCAAGTTCTTCATTTAATTTGCATAGTTCACACCATCAACAGAAATGCATCTACCACAATTCTTGACATATCAAATAGCAATGACAGAGGACAGATGAAACTTTTTTGTTTTTTTCTGATGTCCTGTAGAAGATAACATTGAAATGTTCCGATAATTTTTATTATTGTACCTATGTAACCATAGATCTACTACAGGTGGTTTCTGCAAACTCAAATAACAATTATTTGACATAAACTGTATTGAAAATTATTTTCAATCAGTCAATCAAGTGATTGACATGTCTTGATAGTATGAATATATCCTATATTATCTGTATTGTCTATGCTATTTTGTTTGGTCTCTCTATGTTTTGCTGTGCAGATTTCCTGCATAGGCTAACTGACCAGTTAGTAGAGCAAGCTAGATAACATCTTTAATCCGCTAAAATAAAGAAATACAAATGATACACAACATTATGTACTCATATCATATTACTAAATTGTCATAAATTATATTTAATATTTCTGTTTTTGTTGCAGGTACAATATTCCGATTAAAAGGGTCAATATTAGCCATGTCATTTTTAGACTGTAATGGAGTGTTAATACCATCCCAATGTGAACATTGGAAAGAATCACCAGGAAACCCCAAGGAAGCTAGAGATATGACCAGAGATGAAAGAGCTTTAAAATTTAGTAAGTCTGGTACGCCTGTTTGTGTTTCTTGTTTTGATTAAAATAATGTATAAAATATTTATGAAAGCATATTTGAATGTAATTTCTAGTAACACATTAAAATAGACATCCACCTCCGTACTTTTGCCACAACCTGTTAAGTGAAACCACTGTATTGTGTTCACCATTTTCAAAAGTAAAAATGTGAACAAAGAGGTAACTTAGGCTAAATTTTGTATAAGAATTCAATATATTTGTATTCTTTATTTCTCAATGAATACAGCCTTAATGTTTTGAATAATTCTAATAATAAATTTTGTCCAGTATGTTGTTTATAATTTTTAAGTGTCCAATCCAAAAAGATTTGCAATAAACTCAGGGTGCTACCTTATACCGGTAATCTAAATGTCACTCTGTTGCAATAATTTGTAAAACGTGTGTTAAACTTTGTCTTCTGCATTGCAAAAGATTACTTCCTTTTGACACAATAAGCAATTACTGCAGATTTGAACAAAAATCTTGCAAGAACCCCTAGTCTTAGTCTGTTATGTGTCCTAAGACAGGTGAACAGTTGATAATTAAACAAAGTATTTTAATTTTTTCATATTTTGCATTTTCAGGACAGATGTCTGTTACAAGTAAACAAAGAATATCGCCTACATCATCAACTGAGTTGTGTGATCGACAATTTGGCATCATCTGTTCAGAAAAACAAGCTCGGGTATGAATGCATATTATTTATTGACATGTAATAGATTTTGAACTTAAAATACATTAGTACATGAAACTGTCAATTTTATGATTTAATGTATAATTCTATTAATGTAACACCTGGTGAAATGATTGTGTCTCATATATCATTTATCATAATACAATCAATATTAGACACTTTTATGGTCTTTTCCATTTTTTTGCATTTTTTTCAAACTGGTAAATAAATTACACACGTTTGTATGATATTTTCATTAAATTTCAAAAGAAATATTGAGTGATTATCTGCGACCGCTGTAGTTCAATTATTTGATAATTAACTATGTAAATTATAGTGTGTGTGTCTGTATGTCACCTATGGGCCGCAATTCTTAACTGATCGTCTTGAAACTTTACATACTTAATTTCTTATCCCCTAAGGATGATCCCTTTTGTTTTTGGTGCATGTCCAACCCCCAGGGGCAGAGCCACACCTATTTCTTGTATTTGTTTGTTGTCTACAGGACACATTTCCTAACATATCATCTTGAAACTTTGCATACTTATTCCTTATACCCTAAGGTTGATCCCAATTGTTTTTTGGTGAATGCCCGACCCCCAGGGACAGAGCCACACCCATTTTTTCTTTGTATGTCTGTGTTTTGCCTACTGGCCACAATTCTTAATGGATTGTCTTTGTACTTAGAATATATTATTGTCCCCTGCCTAGGGGACTATTAAAATGGGTTTGTCTGTCTGTCTGTCTGTCTGTCCATCCGTCTGTCTGTCCATCACACTTTTTGGGACACAATAACTTTCCTTCTAATTGAGCTAGAATGTTCAAACTTGGTGTAGGTGTTTATTAGGTCAATGCCTTGATGGAGTTCGAAGATGAGCATTTTCTGCTTAGGGTAAGCAGAGCGATAAGAAATTTGATTGGTCAAGAGTTTGGAACAATTACTTTACTTCGAATTGGGGTAGAATGTTCAAACTTGGTGTAGGTGTTTATTAGGTCAGTGCCTTGATGGTGTTCGAAGATGAGCATTTTCTTCGTAGGATAAACCTGCTAAAGACCCCTACAATTACTCTCATTCTAATTGAGCAAGAATGTTCACACTTGGCGTAGGTGTTTATTAGATGAATGTCTTGATGAAGTTCGAAGATGAGAATTGTCTGCTTAGGATAAGCAGAGATAAGCAATTTGATTGGTTGATGCTTTGGGACACGATAATTTTAGTTCTAATTAAGTGAGAGTGAGGACACTTGTTGTATAGTTTTATCATATTATTACCTTGACTAAGTTCGATGATGAGAATTTTCTGCTTAGGCTAAGGAGCGATAAGCAATTTGATTGGTAAAAACTTTGGAACATAACAACTCTGCTTTTAATTGAGGTAGAATGTTTAAACTTGATGTAGATGTTCATTACATGTAGGTGAATGATTAACATTTAGAGCTAAAGTCAAGCAGAGCGAACAATTTCATTGGTTGATGCTTTAGAACAAAATAACTTTGATTCTATCTGATAGACAGTGATGAAACTTAGTGTATAATAGTTGATAATCAGTTTGATTGCTTGAGACTTTTGAAAAAAATAAATGTGCGAATAATTAATGTGTATCATCTATTTATTTTGGGATTTCGGCGGCAGACATCAGCCCCACTGTTGGCTTGTTCCTTATAGGTTTAGCCAAAAGACGGCAACCATTGATTTTGGTGCATGTCCCGACCCCCAGAGGCAGAGCCATGTCCAGTTTATGTGTTTAGCCCGTTCGAAGTCCACAATTCTGAATGGATTATCTTAGAACCCTAACGATTTTGGTGGCATGATTCCCCCACCCCCCCACCCACTTTTTATTAATATTTTGTCTGTAAATGATATTGTATTTGTGGTGCACGCCCATTTTCTTTTTGTGTGTCGGCTACAGGCCGCAATTCTTAATCTATTGTCTTGAAAACTTTTCATACTTATTCCTTGTTCCCCAAGGATGACCTCTATTATTTTTGGTACATGCGTGACCCCCTGGAACAGAGTCACCGACTCACCGTAAAAACAGCAACCGTTTATTTTGGTGCATTCCCCAACCCCCTGGGGCATTGTCACACCCACTCTTTTTGATAATAATTAGTCTCTAAATTTAGCAAAACAAACCCAACGCCTAGCCTTCTTTGCCTCTTGTCATATTACAGTCATTGCAGCTATTTCATATTTCATTTTCTTCATTTTAAAAGGTACCATATCAATGAAAGCAGGAATGTGGACATATATTGCAGCGTTAGCGATGCTCTAATTTCTTTTAGGGACTGTTAAACTTATACCATAACTCAACACCAGTTACTTTCCTAGCTTTTGTGATACCGGTATTAATAAATTAACATTCACCCCCTATATCTGCCTTTTATTTCATGACTTCACTCTAATAAGGCTGTGTGCAATACCATGATGTATATGCTAAGTTTAAATGATATTATACATGACATGTGAAATTACGATGAGCACTAACTTCTTATGAGGAGTTTGTTTTATATTTGTATTTTTATTTGCAGGTGATGTCATTACCTTCCCAAACATGTGCTTACAAGGCCCAGATCACAGAAAATTCTTTTGTTGTCCGTGCTGAAGTTGTTTCTGTTAGAGGTACTTACTAAAATCATTTTCCATCTTCACCCCCCATGTCAACTAACTGTTAGCGGTTGGCATTTATAAATGAAGTATTGATTTTCACCTTGCATTTTCAAGTAAATTTGTCATCAATAGAAATTTTTTAACCCAAACTATATTCCAGGGAGATAACTAGTGATGGTTTGATATGGCTACTGATATCAGATATTGACAGTGAAATATATCGGCCACTACAGATACAATTATCGATAGTGGTGGATATAAAACTATTAAAACTCATTAAAATGTCTCTGTTATGATAATCGATGTAGTTACATAGCTTCCTGTCTGTCAACAGTGGCAGTTACGTGATTTTCTCCCCCCATTCCCTCCCCCCCCCTTCGTTTCCATCCTTCATTTCAATCACGCGTATACCAGTTAGATAAAACAAAGGAAAAAAAATGCAACAAAGTAGTAAGATTTGGAACTATTTCACATCAGCGACAGCGATCAAAGGAGGACCATTGTTTATTTCATAGTTTATAAATTTTAAATAAAAATTCAAAAGCCTAAATAGGAATTATTGTAAGATTTTGTGATCTCTTATTTCTGTAGAAGTCCACTGCATGATGATGTATGATCTCAACACACATTGAAACGGGATCAAAGACTAGAGAGGACTCTGCGATGTACTGATGTGTTCTCTGATTCTATCTTTTTGATCATCATGCAATGGGCTTATTCCAGTCACATGTTTTAGCGGGTGGACTGTTGTACGTTTATATCTGTTTGTACATGCGCAGAAATTGTAATCTTAAAATAATGCATCAAGATACCCAAACTCTCAAAAATATGTGAATAAGGATTAAAAAAATATTATAGACCGGTAAGGAAACATATTGCACTGCTTGTCACTGATTTTTTTAAGGTTATTGGTCACATATGCTGTTCTTAAGTTCATTTACCACTGGAAATATTCATTCTTAAATTAGTGGTTGTGAATCCTATGATCATTCCCTACATTTTACACCTTGTTCCAATGTCGCACCTTTCATGTTAATGAAATTTCTAATTAGGGGTCATTCTGTGCAAACCAGCATTATTCTCTTCTTAAGTACACTGACCACCAGAAATTTCATTCTTAAGTTGATGATAATGATTTCTGATATCATTCCGTACAATTTAGGCTTGGTTTCTCACTCGCACCTTTCATGTTGATTAACATTTGAATTACCGATGGGGGTCGAGTGATATTTTCGTTATTTTTGAGATTATGTCATACTTTTAGCTAAAACTTCATTTATTTTATGTCTCATATTTTTGCTCCTAGCACTATCAAAAATGTCCATGTAGTTTTGTGCAATATACTTGGAATAGATCACGAGATAATGGAAAAATCGTTTTCAGTAAAATCGAAAAATAGCTAATTAGTGACCTTTGGCCTCTTCTTAAGTGGCCCTTCCACCAAAAATCCCATTTTTAAGTTATATTTCCTAGTACAGGGCACATTCCTCTATCAAATGCCATTGAAGTGGAACTTGCACCTTCCATGTTGAATAAACCCATTTTGGGGGGTACTATGGGTGGCTCCTCCTACCACACCCACCACTGGCGCAACTTAAGAATTGGGTTTCTGGGGTCTCCTAACCCAGACATACACCACTAGCATGCCAAACCTTCCGCACCTTCCGGACTAATATGCTTGCTCGATTCTCCTTTATTGTATGGTGATTTATTGTATTCAAGGTTGATTTCCGCTCATGTCGTCATGATATTCCAGTTCGATGGAATTCGAAAAATGTTTTTGGAGAAATGTTATTGCACAAATGTTTTGGGAGAAATGTTTTGCAAGATTTGTATTTGTAGATTTGTATTTAGAAATTTGTTGTTAGACATGGTCATGTAAGACGCTGGCTCGCTAGCTTGGAGGTCGGGTGTTCGATCCCTGCATTGTCCGAGAAAGTAGATTCCAGATTTTCCAGCGTGTTTCTCCCTTATCAGTGATGCAGGACGGAGGGGTTGACAACAACTGTCTAGTCGTTCGGATGGGACAAGAAACCGAGGTCCCGTGTACACATTCACGTACACGTAAAAGATCCCTTGACACACTGTATGGTGTATGCCCGTCTTCATTAGCCCAATTCAGAGCAAAATAGTAGGACATTAAACCCCATTTCATTTCATTTCATTTAGACATGCGCACAACCATGATTGACTGAGCACAACTTGATTGAGTGTGTTTTCAACTAAAGGGAGACAACTACATACATGCTTAATACTTTACAATGACGCAAGTACTAGTACGTATGTGAATAATGAATAGTAATTATGACTGTAACAAATGTTATTCACAACTTGTTATATGATGTTTATGTTAATCATGGATAAGGAATGATTGCAGCATGAAACCTGTGTAATTCTAGTTTAAACATGAAATTTGAATTAATCTAAGCTTAAATCAGACATTGTTTTTATTATTTCAGAGAGTGTATGTTTAATGTGTTATGTTGCCAATGGTCGTATATTGGCCTATAGTTTACCCAGTTTAAAACCACTTTTAAATGTTGATTTTTTGCCTCTTACCGACTACAGGTATGTTTTATATTATTTAATCATATGACTTTTACTGTAATTGAATGATATTGATAATGTTATATTTAGTTTATTTGTATTTTCGAAAAGGTATACTTGTCAAAACTAATGATGTTATAAATGCCAAGGCGATTAAGAATTGATTGAGGAGATGCTTTATTACAATAGAATTGAACAAGATAAAGATACTTTGCTGATTTATATTCATGGCACCTGTTGAACTTATTTTACAATTTTGACCTTTCATTTAATCATCTTTTGTATTTCAGAGTTGCACGGACATTCTGTTTCAGTAATAGTGGTCATGCCTTATACCTTTGTTCTCCTACAGAAATACAGAAAATAACCTACTCATCAGAAATATGGTAAGCACTATGAAAAAAATTGGTGTCATGGTCTAGCATTCAGGTCATGAGAGGATGAACTCTATCGATATTAGTAGGGTCGCCTGTCCAACCTCGTGGGTTTTCTCCGGGTCCTCCGGTTTCCTCCCACTGCTAAAGACCCCTACGCGCAAGCGAATTATGTAAATAAAATTAAACCATATGTTAGTCCCAAAATGACCTAGTTTGTGTCGAGTGGACGTTAAACCCCATTTCTCTCTCTCTCTCTATCGATATTTGGTGTTCTGCAACCTTTCGAACCAGAGTTATGCCCCGTTTGTCATAAACATTGTTAAGGCGATAGAGGCTATATTTTTTAAGAAATTCTTTTCAAATTTGGTGGGAAGCATGGGGTCCTGAGAGAAAGGTGCGAAGCATTGTGATCATGAGAGCATGGACCCTATTGTTATTCAGCATATATGCAACAGTGTTTAACAGGTTTTTTCAAGCTCTGTAAGCACAACAGAAATCAGATTTCTTGAAGGCAAGTTCAACATCCCAAGTTTCTTCTCCTATAAGTTGCTGTTGAGACATATCTACTGTATGGGCTTATTTCTACTCACTGCGTGGCTGTCTTCATATTTGGTGTGAACACGATCAGATTTCAAATAAGCTGCTGTCTGTGACTATCTTTTTTTTTTTTTCACAACATAGCTGATATGTAAGCATATTTCCACACGTATGTCCTAAATATTGTGGGGGGGTTGGATGGCCGAATGGTTAGCAGTGCGCTGCATCATAAGGCCTGTCATTGAGTCAACTTGCATGGTTTTGAATCCCCGGTTGTACATGACAAGGAGTAGGGTCGTCTGTCCAACCTCGTGGGTTTTCCCCGGGTCCTCCCACTGCTAAAGACCCCTGAAATAAAAAATTAAAAACCATATGTTACTCCCGAAATGACCTACTTTGTGTCGAGTGAACGTTAAACTCCATTTCTCTCTCTCTCCTAAATATTGTGTGCACATTAATTTCCTCCATTCACTTGTTGCAGAAAGGGGGAACAGGGGTAGACACTAGTATCTTTTAAGGCCTTCAATTCTTTTCTTGTCTGTACATTCATAAATTTGTCTCATTTCAGTGACAATTTAAATGAAATGTTAGGAGATTTGTTTTTACCATGTGAAACACCAGAGGCACCCAAACAAAGCTTCTTCAAAAATCTTTTTGGAGGAGGAACTGGTGTTTTAGACAGAGAAGAATTGTGTAAGTTTTTTTTTTTTTTATGATTACTGGACAGACACATTACAAAAGGGTTTAGAATGAATATTTCCATTTTGTGACAACTTTACAATCTTGCATAGAATGTTCTATAGAAAATTAATCCTACGCAACTGTAATATTTAGGAAGCTGGATATCTAATTGGAATATCGGTCCAAAATTGGTTCAACAGTCGGCATCCTCAGCTTATTTATAGGATATTGTCAAAACAAACTACCACCTAAAATCTTAGCTGAAGTCTGACGTCTTTTGATGGGTTTCTTTTTAATCCTATTCAATCCAAGCTGGGACATTATTTGCTGTTGATATTAGGCAAATTATTTTTTTTTTAAAATATATATGTTAAATGTTATTAATTTGAGTACATTTAAGAGTGGATTAGGCAGTGTAAAGTTAGATATTGTCTGAAAAAATGCAAATGCTGATGAACAACTTCAAGTTAATTGAAAATAAATTTAATTTAAGGTTTTCTTTTAAAATTTACATTTTAGTTGGCGAGTCTAGTGGCAAAGCATCAAAAGGTTTAGCCAAACATATTCCTGGTTCTGGAGGAATGGCTCATTTAAAAGCAGAGAGTACTGGTATTGCTGGAGATTTGGCACGTACTAGATTGGTAAGTGACAAAAAATATAAAAGGGTTTTATATAAGGTTTTAAATTGTTAATAGATGCATCAAATCAATTAACTTGGCAAAAAAGTACGAAAAATTTGGTTGTATATGCAAACACCAATTCTTTACCATGACATTGTTCTGTTCATAAGATTTAAAACACTGTATTTGAGGTTGTGAAACAGAAATCATGATGGCAAAAAAAGGTAAAAAAAACAAGATCTTTTTGTTCAATTTCCTTTTTATGTGCTCACATTTTCATGTGGGTGTATTATGCCGTTGCCTCTGTCCATCCTAACACAATTTGTTTGTGGACACTCTACAGGTCACAATTTTATCCAATTTTGACGAAATTTGAAATATAGGTCTATCTCAAAAAGATCTGGGTTCCTTTCGATATTGGACCATAACTTCATTGATTATGCCCCCTGATTGTACAAAAAATCATGTTTTTAGCTTGTGGATGCTCTAGAGGTCACAATTTTCATCTGATTTTGATGAAACTTGATATGCACGTTTATAACTCAAAGATCTTGGTTCCTTTCAATATCCGCGAATAATGGATCGTATCTTCCTGAATTATGGCCCTGATAGTACGAAATATTGTGTTTTTAGCTTGTGGTCCCTCTAGAGGTCACAATTATTATCCCATTGATAAAAGACGTTCGAATATATCACCATTACACCATAATGTTGGTTGAGTTCGAATTTTGTGAATTTTGATGGAACTTGAAATACATGTTTATAACCTAAAGATCTTTGTTCCTTTCGATATTCGCACGATATTTGTCGAATTTAAAAAAACAGTTATTACTGTTATAGCATAATTGAACCATATGTTAGTCCCATGTTGTGTCAAGTGGATGATAAACCCCATTTCTCTCTCTTTTTGCTTTCAATATTCACGCATATCAGACTGTAATTTCCTTGATTATGGCCACTGATTGTAGATTCTCTAGAGGTCACAGTTTTGTCACAGTTTTTTTTTTCCGATTTTAAAAAAACATTTAAATATGTCACCATTCCACCATAATGAAGGTTGAATTTGAATTTCTGGAAAATTGAAACAAAACTGCCTGACAAAATGGCCGCTCTTTTTTAATTACGCAAATTGTGTAAAAGTATGTAATACGAAGGTTGTGGATCTCCTACAGGTCACAATTTTTATTTGATTTTGATGATACTTAAAATGTATCTTTGTATCCCAAAGATCTCAGTCGCTTTTGATATTTGCTTATTTCTGACCATAACTTTCTGGATTTGGTTTTTAGCTTGTTCTCTATCCATCTCTTGCAAAATGTCGGTGTATCTTGCCTGTCAACCGCTGGTAGTATTACAATGTTACCCAACTGTTATTTTCTGGCAAACAAGCTAATTCTTGAACATTGAAACACTTTTCAGGCTTTAAATGAGAGAGGGGAAAGACTTGGCGATTTAGATGATAGATCGGCTCAAATGATGGCCCAGGCAGAAAGTTTTGCTCAAGCAGCACATCAAATCATGAACAAATACAAAGATAAAAAGTGGTACCAGTTTTAGTGAATTGCACACCATTAGTTACAGTGGCTTAGTCATCAAGGAAGACTACAGTTGTTGCAGTCTAGCATTGCTGTGCATGTTGGCACCGCCAGGCTTGTCGCCTCTTCCAACTCTGTGGAAAGTTTTGTCGTTCAGCAACAAACGTTTCGGTTGCTGAACTCTAGCAACAGAATTCCTGGGTTTCACATGTCTGAAGGGGCATCGCCGACACAGATCAAATACCTCTAGATTTTTCCCTACATCTGCTCAACTGGGGACCTTTTCATTCCAGAATGGATACTATGTGATGATTTTTTTCGTTGTTATGCTGATAACATGATTTGTTTTATTATTGTAAACTATGTACTATAATCACCTTATTTTGTATATTTAGTTGTTTAAGTGTGATGTTACACCAAGGGTTTATGTCTATTTGTGTTGTTTTAGAATTTTAGTCGGTGATTAGGTACTGTCTTGTGACACTAGAAGTACAGTATAGGAAATTATACTACCACAACAAGGTAAACAAGTGCAATATTGTCAATTTGTGTGAAATGTTGCCTAGTCCATATTGGTCTACCATTGTTTTAGGCTGTAGAGATTGTTCCTCTTATAATGTTATATGTATTAAGAGAGATTGTATATGTTATTATGGCTGTGATTGTGTTGTTTGTTCATACAGAGCTTATTTATGTTGTATATAGACGTTAGATTTTTGTACATTTGGTTTTATTAATGCATTCCATGTTCGCATGGGACCAATTCGCAGCTAACCAATTAACGGCTACTAATAATACTATCAACCACAATTATTGTAGAACATAATTTATCTGTTAAGGGTTTTCTTTACACAACATTTCAACATTATTAAATCCTTCCCTGAATTCAGAATGAGTTTGAAGATGGAATTAATATTAGTTTAAATTTAAAGAAAACTCATTATGTTCTATTTATTATTTAAATATTGTTGTTAATAAGTTAGTTGATTTATAGAAATGTATACACAATCAAAATAGCTTTGTGTTTAATTTAGAGTTCAGGTTATTTTTATTGATATATAATTTGTCATCACAGGACTATTATTACATTTATATTCTCTACAATCCTAACCAAAGATTGTTTGGATGAATTGGGCATTATACAATTCAAGTTATTGTTGCATTTCTCATTTTGCATTCAGTACAATAAATTTGTGTGATCAATAAATAATACTGTTTATGTTTATTCTGTGAAAACAATATGGTGTAGTAATTCATTCTATTTAAATAGCATAGGAAAATGCAATTTATTCTCAAGAGTATATCAATTTTGGATTCAAAATTATATGGAAATCAAATTTATTCCTTCAAGTGAAAATAATATTTTTATGTTATACTGTTCTATTATGGACTCAAGATTGAATTATTTATCTAAAATATTTATTAAATTAATATGTTATGGTCATAATTTATTCAATTACAAATATAGGTTATTCAGTTACAATCATAATATTTATTCATTTATTATTATAATTTATGCCATTATGATACTGTGACATATTCAATTTATTGAATCTTAACTTTGAAATCCTAAGCATAATCTGTAGTGCTACAAACTAAAGACTATTTAATAACATGTTGCTTTACTCATTCCTTATTTTATTAGATGTTTTACAAATAAAATTTCTTCTTGGCTGTAAAGCTTATACGTACAATGGGTTTAATCAATTGATTGAACAGATTTTAAATAATTGAGGGAAAAAGTCTCCTTACCCACCTTTAAAATCTTAGTTCTCAAATTAATTAATGCCCAGGCTATTAAAACTTTATAACATATAAACTTTCTGGTATTGCAGTGAATTAGCTCGATGAAATATATTTAATTTTTTTGGTGGACAATGCTGCTGTGAGAAAAAAATGTACTTAAAACTTTCAGTCTGATATGATTATGAATAATCAAATGATCAACACATTCAATGTACTTGTTTTGTAAAAGGGTGCTATCGAAATATTTAGTCCATACAAAATGGTCACTATGATGGTGTTAAAAGATGTTTAGGTATCACTTTTGTGAAGATTTACAGGAAACAGAAGGCAAAAAATCTAAAAACTAAGAGTCATCCTTGATCGACAGTTGATTGTAACTTAATGTCATAACTATTTCATCCATAGTGTTTTCATTAATTAATCTTGAAACACTATCATACTTTTAGAATTAGGATGTAGATTTCAGGTGTTGACACATTATATATTACTTATGATATTTGCACAGAGTAATTTCAGTGCTGTTGTCAAATTGATCTTATTGGATCACTTTCATCAAAAATTACAAAAATATGTATAAAATCTATATTTTCCTTGCACTAATTAGTTACAGCACATATAGGCACAGACTGACTAAATATATAGAAATATTCAAAATTAACAATACTCTTATTATATTATTTATTATTGTGTAAATTATGACAGACTGTAAATATGTCATTATCATAATGAAATTTGTAGTATAAGCAATATTAAGTTTGTCTTTGTTGAAAATTCTATAACATGTAATATATAAATAACATATAGGTAAATCACTTGATCACTCTATATGTAAGTATTGTTTGCATAATTTAATATGTGCATGATATGATTAATTTCATCTATACATTGTAAATCATTTCTGTTCCAAATTAAGCTGAAAATGCTTGCACAAATCTGTCTACTGCAATTTTTATTAATTCTCAACAGTGTTCATAGAATGTTTGATTTGTTTTTTTTACATTGATATATGTTAGTTAGACTTATATCAACAGTATGATGATATACATGATAGGTGTTAGTCCCTCCCTCCCCAGTTCCCCCTCCGCCCCTCCTCCCCCCAATACCATTTCTTGTTACCAGTCTTATTTCATTAGATTATTCCTCACTATTTAAGTCAACAATCTGTACAAAAAAAGATACATCACCCAATAAAATGAGTAATATTAAAAAAAAGTGTGTTTGTCAACTTTATAGATAATAATGAATGAAGGAAATGGAGTTAATTTTTATACTAATGAATGATTGAAATAGGGTTTAACTCCTACTCTTCTGTTCCAACCGGATTTATGAAGACAAGCATACATCATGCAGTGTGCTAAGAGGGAATTTTGCCTGGACAGCAATTCAATTCCAACTGTCATGGTTCTTTTACGTGCATGCCAAGGTGTACATGGCACCTTTTTCTAGCCCATCCAAATGACTATGTGGCCTTCAATCCTCCACCCACTGAGGGGAAACCATGTCGGAGAATCCTGAGGAACTTTATTGACCAACACCAGGATTGAACTCCGTACATCCAAATAAGAGAGCCAGCACCTTACCAACTCAGCTACCTCAACTCCTTGCTTTTGTTTAAAACAGTATGATCAACATTTTAGAATTCTAACCTAATTAATGTCATAGAGAAGTATAATTAAATCCAAAATTTTGGCATTTAAAGAATAAAACTCCCAAGCCAAATAGGGCAATATTTGGCATTTGAACTAAATAAAACTTAAAAAATTGAGTTTTTTCACCAGTTATAATTATTTCAATATTGATATCATCACATATCCCCAACACTGAAATGTTTGGAAAAGATACTTGTGTGCGTCTGGTAAATAAATATCGACAGAAAAAAAGGGAAAGAGCTTTGAAATTTTTTATATTTTCATCTGTGTGTTTGCAGTTACCTAGTATAGCATTTGGACATTTTTGTACAAAAAAGCATTTTTCTCAGCAACTACTCTACCGATAAACTCCTTTTAAATTCAACAGGATTTGAGCATAACCTATCAAATAAACAAAAAAATTGACATTAAAGTTAACCACAGTTCTGCCAGACTGACCTAGGTATAAGTGCTACATATAGTTAATTATTTCTATAAATGGTTTGTTGAGCATTGTCTAAGCTTTATGTGCTTAAATTCCATAACAAATACCTTAGTTCGTTAGTCAAATCTGCAAGGTGTTGTTGGTTTTTCATCTTGGGAGTTCAGGTTTATACCATAGGCCTATGTCCTTTTGTAACATCAGTAACTGGATTTTAGATTTGATTTGGCAAGAAAATAAACAGAAGATTTCGAATTGTTTACCCCACACTGAGATTATCAACTCTTTGTTGACAATTCATACCAAAACAATGGACGAGACTGGTCAATCATTAGAGAGAGAGAAATGGGGTTTAATGTCCACTCGACACAAACTAAGTCATTTTGGGGCTAACATAGTTCAATCTTTTATTGTCTCCCGCCTTTCAAAGAAAGCAGGGGAGTATTAAAATGGGTATGTCCGTCTGTCTGTCCGACACACTTTTTGGGACACAATAACATTCCTTGTAATTGAGCTAGAATGTTCAAACGGGATGTAGGTGTTTATTAGGTCAATACCTTGATGTAGTTCGAAGATGAGTTAAGCAGAGATAAGCAATTTGATTGGTTGATGCTTTGGGACATGATAACTTTAGTTCTAATTAAGTGAAAGTGATGAAATTTGGTGTATAGTTTTATTACATCAATAGGCCTACCTTGACTAAGTTCGATAATGAGCATTTTCTGCTCAGGGTAAGCAGAGCGATAAGCAATTTGATTGGTCGAGACTTTGGAACACAATAACTCTCATTCTAATTGAGCTAGAATGTTCACACTTGGCATAGGTGTTTATTAGATGAATGCCTTGATGGAGTTCGAAGATGAGAATTTTCTGCTTAGGGTAAACAGAGATAAGCAATTTGATTGATTGATGCTTTGGGACACGATAATTTTAGTTCTAAGTAAGTGAGAGTGGGGAGCGATAAGCAATTTGATTGGTCAAGACTTTGGAACATAACAACCCTACTTTTAATTGATTTAGAATATTTAAACTTGATGTAGATGTTCATTAGGTGAATGTCTTGACTGAGTTCAATGATTAACATTGCAGAGCTAAGCAATTTCATTGGTTGATGCTTTGGGACAAGATCTATCTGGTAGAGAGTGATGAAACTTAGTGTATAGTTGATAATCAGTTTGATTGCTTGATACTTTTGAAAAGAATAAATGCACTATTAATTAATATGTGTCTTCTATTTATCTTGGGATTTCAGCGGGGGACATCAGTCTCACTGGTGGCTTGTTTCTATAATTCTCTTGCATGGAAGGAAACCAGGTTGGACAGTCGACCCTACTCCTTGTCAACTTCAAACAGGGAAGAGAAACCATGCCACTTGACTTCATGACAGACCTTATAATCCAATGCACATGCGTTAAACCATGCAGCGACCTACTCGTCCCCCTGTCAGTCTAAATAGGTAGTAAGCTTTCTAATTGTTTTCCATTGTAAATTTCATATCCAAAGTTTGTATGTAGCTGGCTCACTAACTACATGTAGGGGGTCTCAGGTTCAGTCCCAGTGTTGGCCGAGAAAATTCTTTGGTTTAAGTGGTGCTGGATAGAAGGCCTGGCAAGGAAATGTGGTCTAGTCATTAGGATGGGACAAACTATCAAGGTCCAGCTGTGTACTTCTTTGTGTGCTTGTAAACAACACTAGCCAGGGGAAAATTTCCCTTATAGTACCCAGCATGGTGTACGAATTCAAACCTCATTTCATTTCACTGTGTAAATTTCTTCACTGCTAATGCTATTAAAATCTCTGACAAATGAATAATTTTTCCATAATCAAGATATGCATTGTTATCATCAGAATATAAAGAAGTGTGTTTGAATTTACATTTCCTGCCAGACATAAGGGAAATCAGGTATTAAAATAATGCCACAGCCAACAGATTTCTTTGATCTACTTTAGAAAAAAAATCGAGATAGTCAAGTCCCTTCAATACTTGGGCCAAGGCATAATATTGATTTAATATTGAAGTCAGTGGGCCAAGGTTTACCCGGCTGAATCCAGGTCCGCCTCTATTATTATCTCCCTTGACACAACCGGGAAAAGTAAACAGACAAGGAAGGTTTATCCACGGCTATTGTTGAAATATTACTTATTAGGTCACTGGCCTTAGGGCAAAACAATGGTGTCGTTAAAATATGTGACTGACAAATGATACAAACTATTGGTCAGAATGGCACTGAATGTTAGAACTATTGAGGGACATCTAGAAAAACAAGGGACCGGTCATGTATCAGTAAGTGGGCGGAGGCTAGTTAATATAATTATTCAATCATTACACTCCCTCCCACAGTATTAAAGTTCCGTAGCTAAGTCTTTAACTCAATATCATCCAAATTCTTGACATTGAAAACACGAATTATATGCCAATTTAAATCAACATTGATATTGTGATCTTACCGGGAAAAGAGATGGGCTTCTGATATCCATATATATAGGGCCTAATATTTAAGACAAAATAAACATTTTACCATTAGGCTACATATGAATCCTGTACCATAATGGGTTATACAGTGCCATTTGTAACAAGGGACTCGAAGAATGGGGCTAGACATATTCCACAAGTCATGTCAAATGGTGACGTCATATTCTTATTTGGAGAGCATACATAAGAACTATCGGTATAGACTGGAATAACCAGACGCTAGAAGTTGCCATTCGATTGACACATCTGGCGTATTTCGCTGAACATAATTGATTTGAAATTACAGTAAAAACGGAAACAATTGACTGGACATCAGTTTATATACATTCATATTCATTCATATTACATTATTATATGCGTTGCGACCCATTTAAGTGTCAATTTCTAGGTCCCAAAATTAGCGATTTAGCTCCTTTAGAAATACAATCTATGATGATGTTCACATATTACGGATAATGGTTATGCGAAGATGCCTAGACCCAGTGGTCATCCAATCAAAGGTGGAATTTTAAAATTCGAAATTATCTCAGGATTTTCCAGCAGGGTTTCCCCAATTTAAGTTCCTATCAAAACGATATCTGGACAGATGAAGTAGACCCACTTTGTCCCTCCGGCCACAAACTGTTCTGAAAGGATGTAGGATAGAGGGCCTGGGAAGGCACAGCGTCTAGACCAGTGGTTTTCAACCTTTTTTTTGCTAACGGCACACCTTGGAACACATGAAAATATAGCGGCACACTTGGCTAAATATATATATGAAAAATATTTGAATGTTGCAAAATAAAAACATGGCAAGTCATAGACGGCATACAACCATATAGACACAAACTAGTCATAAACACATAGAATGACTCCAACTAAATAAAGAGAAACACAACTATGAACTTACCAGCACCAGTGAATACTCAATTGGGATCACATGGTTTTTTGCAGCACCAGTGAATACTCAATTGGGATCACATGGTTTTTTGCAGCACCAGTGAATACTCAATTGGGATCACATGGTTTTTTGCAGCACCAGTGAATACTCAATTGGGATCACATGGTTTTTTGCATTTTCTTAGTGTGCCGTTCAAAATTTCACGGCACACTTAGGAGGAGCTGAAGAGTAGGCCATAGCGCTGACCAAAATTTCCTTTTAAAATAGCACAGATGGCGTGTGAATGTCTTCATTAGCCTTGTTGAGCAGAAAAAGATAAGATAAGATTTTATTGTATCGATACATCCACTGAGGATAGCATAGCCTACAATATAAACATGTACATAAATTTATTTAATGCACAAAATATAAAAAGGTAATTGACAGAAGGAAAACTATTTTCATTTGCTCTGTAAGAAATGTAAGTAAGGTTCCAAACAAGACATCTATTCTTATTTTTCTTAATTTAATTGACTGTAAGAATAACTATTTATAAAGCCTTTGATAGAGTTTGGAGAGAAGGTCTTTTCTACAAACTATGGTTTAGTTTTATAAAGTAAGTCAGTGGTCCTCTCGGGCTTATAAATATGGTAGTTTCCTATAATAATTTATTATTGATATCGTACCAAATCTTTTTATACAGCTTTACAACAACTGACCAGATACGATTGTTAATGTTTAAAAGATTTGCTTTGAGAGAAAAAAAATGTATTTATTTCACATGTTATGAAACATGTTTTTGTTAAACAGATTTTGTTACTTTGTATGACACTAAAGTAACAAAAAATAATACAGGAGCACCATGACCAACACATTCTGCAGAACATATTCTATGCGAAATTCTGTAGTAAACAGATGTCCAAATTATAAATTCTTTAGCATGGATCAGTTTCCCGTCATTATTCTGAAGGAATAAGTATGCGGTGAAATTCCACAGAAAACTACAGTTTGCTTGTCTGTAATCAGAAAACAATTTTATGGTATACAATTACTGTTTATTACTGAGCAATGTTTCAAGCAATTGATCCTGTGTAGTTACGGTTCAGTTACTACCTAAATGCCATTCAAACAGGTTCTTATACGTTTGTCTACAAAACCTATAGAACAAAATATTTTTCTATAGTTTTTTATATGTTGAAATTTTGTATACTTATTCCTTATACCCTAAGGATGATCCCTATTGTTTTTGGTGCATGCCCCCCCACCGCCCCCCAGGGGCTGAGCCCCACCCATTTTTTGTATTTATTTGTTTGTCATATACAGGATACATTTCTTAACAGATCAGATCATCTTGAAACTTTGGATACTTATTCCTTATACCCTAAGGATCACCCCTATTGTTTTTGATGCATCTTCAACCCCCAGGGACAGAGCCACTCCCATTTTCTCTTTGTGTGTCTGTGTGTCGCCTACAGGCCGCAATTCTTAATGGATCGTCTTAAAAACTTTTCATACTTATTCCTTATACCCTAAAGATGACCATTATTATTTTTGGTGCATGCCTGACACCCTCGGACAGAGCCATACTCAAGTTTTTTGTGTGTCTTTGTGTCGCCGACAGGCCGCAATTCTTTACAGATCCTTTTGATACTTTACTTCTAAGGATGATCCTATTGTTTTTGGTGTTACCAGACCCCCAGGGGCTGAGCCACACCTGTTTTTGCTTTGTGTGTCTGTGCCACAATTTTTAATGGATCGTCTTGGAACTTGATATAAGTATTCCTTATAGCCTAAGAACGGCAACTACTGATTTTGGTGCATGGCCCGACTCCTAGGGGCAGAGGCAAGCCATTTTTTTTTATATATTTAGCGTCTGAATGCCACAATTCTGAAAGGATTATCTTGGAACTTAGTATATATTTTCCTTATACCCCAAAAACGGCATCTATTGATCTTGCTACATGGTCCACCCCTCGGGCAGTTCCACACCCACTTTTTGTTTAATATTTTGTCTGTAAATAATCTACAGGTTGCAATTATTAACATATTGGGATCCAATTCAGAATGATCCATCAAAGGGTTATACCCATTTATATTGGTCTACAGGCTGGAATTCTGAATCTGAATGGATCATCTTGAAACTTGGCATATTTATTCCTTATACCGTAAAAATAGCAACTATTTATTTTGGTGCATGTCCCGACCCCACAGGGGCGATGTCACACCCACATTTTGTTAAATTTAGTCTGTAAATTTGGCAAAACAAACTCAATGCCTAGCCTTCTTTATTTTAAAGTATAGAAAACTATGGGATTGCACAACTGACTTAAGGATACAACTAACCTATAGTATCTAAGTTTTCACATGAAGGATAGATTACAGTGAATGTAACATTTATCAATCAAATACAAGAAGGGTATCTAAATATTGGTCATATGGTACTCCTACAGACTCATTAAATACATAGGCTACAGATGGCATTGATGTTTGAATTTATGTGGGAGACAGATAAAATGAAGCTTCAAAATCAGTTATAAACTAGAAATACAATTGCATTTCATATAATCAAATAGTGAAATGTGCAGGTGGCATCAATGTTAGGGTAGATACAATTATTAAGAATGCAATTTCAAATTTAGTTCAGTTTCATATCAAAGAATCAACCCCCCAAAAATTATAGTTGGCTAATTAAATATGCATTGATTGATAGCATTGATGTTCATACTTATACAGGAAAAGTAAGGTCTATTTTAGATTTTATTGAAATTCATTCACTAAAAATAAATATATAGCCTTGCAAAAAGTGTGACTGAGTGGCAAGAAGGACACTATTTAATTTAGCTTTCTGTTCACAATAAATTATGAACTTTATCCCCATGTAATAATAATTCATTTTGGTTATCATGTTAATTTCAGATAAAAGAATTTTATTGTTAGGTAAAACTTTGCAGAACAAAAATACATGCACATGTATATGTATTATAGTTATACACAATAATTAAAACTATGTAATTTTCTTTTAAATATTACTTTGAATATAAATGGGTTATCTATAGTATTGAAACCCTAAAACTTATAATATTTAAAGGAGCTAAATCGCTAATATTTTGGGCCTAGAAATTGACACATATGGGTCGCAACACATATAATAATGTAATATGAATTTATATACATGTATACTGTTTTACATTCAATCGTTTCCGTTTTACTGTGAATTGCCATCAGTTATGTTCGGCGAAATACGCCAGTGGTCTCAACCGAAAGACAGTTTCTAGCATCTGGTTATTCCAGTCAACACCGATAGTATATATTGTGCATGCTCTCCAAATAAGAATATGGCATCACCGTTTGACATGACTTGTCGAATATGTCTAGCTTCATTCTTTGAGCACCTTGTTACAGATGGCGCTGAAACACATTATGGTACACGATTCGTGTACCAATTGTAAAATGTTTATTTTGTCTTAAATATTGGATATCAGAAGCCCATCTTTTCCAGGTAAGACCACAACACCAATGCTGATTTAAATTGCAAAAAAATTTGTGTTTTCAATGTCGAAGATTTTGGATGATATTTTACGGACTTAGCTACTTTAATATGGATTTTTTAATGAACAGCTTATTAACACATAATTAAACTTTCGATCAATGTATGCATCTCATAAAAAGATTATATTTTGGAGAATAAAACTGTTTAATTTTGTGTGAAAAGCCTGTTAAAACCTTGAGCAACTAACTTAATATACGTGATACGTTTTTAAACAATTTAAACTTGTCAGTCTTCATCTGAAAATTAGTCCGGACGCCAGGCCCGAGAACCCACTTTTGTTTGATATATAATGTTTCTCCCTGGATTATTGTTGGGTAGGGTCCCCTTGATTTTTCCAGAGTGGATTTGGTCGTGTCACCCTTGGTGAAAATTAAATATTCAAGATGGCGGCCAAAAATGGATCAAACCAGCCTTTTACTTTATAAAAATAATGTATAGGTTAAATTTACCTTCGTTATCAAGTACAGCACATGGGTCATTCATTGTTTAAACTTTTAAAGGAACGGCAATCGATTATCAGGTCACCCAACGAAACAATTGACCCGAAATCTTAAAAGAATTACGTGTCCAAATGACTCAATATTTTGAGCTGAAATTTTCAGACAAGGTAAATACACCATCCTCTATATTGTGGTGCTTAAATTTCATATGTACACAGCAGGGTAACTATAGAAGTCATAATTTTTATCCAATTTAAAAAAACGTTCTATTATATCACCGTTACACACTAAGGATGACTAAGTTCGAATTTTGTGAAAATCGGCCCAAAATTGACAGACAAAATGGCCGCCATTCGTTCCCAAATAGCGTAAGAATATGGTATATCAAGGTTGTGGACCCTATAGGGGTCACAATTTTTATCCGATTTTGTTGAAACTTGAAATGTAAGTTTATAACCCAAAGATCTCGGTTCCTTTCGATATTCGTGCATATCGGACCGTAACTTCCTGAATTATGACCCCTGATTGTACGAAAAATCACGTTTTTAGCTTGTGGACCCTACAGAAGTCATAATTTTTATCCGATTTAAAAAACTGTATTATTATATTACCGTTCCACCCTTACTTAGGACAGTTGAGTTCGAATTTTGTGAAAATCGCCCCAAAATTGACAGACAAAATGGCCGCCGTTCGTTCTCAATTAGCGTAAAAATATGGTATATCAAGGTTGTGGACCCTATAGAGGTCACAATTTTTATCCGATGTTGTTGAAACTTGAAATATAAGTTTATAACCCAAAGATCTCGGTTCCTTTCAATATTTGCCCATATTGGACCGTAACTTCCTGAATTATGGCCCCTGATTGTACGAAAAATCATGTTTTTAGCTTGTGGACCCATTACAGGTCATAATTTTTATCCGATTTAAAAAACCGTATTATTATATTACCATTCCACCCTAAGGACAGTTGAGTTTGAATTTTGTGAAAATCGCCCCAAAATTGACAGACAAAATGGCCGCCGTTCGATCTCAAATAGCGTAAAAATATTTTTATCCGATTTTGTTGAAACTTGAAATGTAAGTTTATAACACAAAGATCTCAGTTCCTTTCGATATATGCGCATATCGAATTGTAATTTCCTGAATTATGGCCCTTGACTGTAGGAAAAATCACTTTCTTGTTAGCTTGTTCTCTATCCATCTCTCGAAAATGTGGGCGTATCCTGCCTGGCAGCCGCTGGTTTGTCTGAGACATTGTTCAAATCGGGATGGTCCCTTTAAATTGTTGAAGGTAAAGAGTCAGACATTCTGGACTGTGCTTTGACATATTGGACATATGAGGATCTTTATTATCAAATAATTATGTTAAAGATATCTATTTTATTTTCTTCAGAGATTTTTACCTAAGAAGAGAAACTGGTGCTTTTTAATAGATACAACTCTTCATTGTCACCAAGAAAGTACAAATAAAGTATGATTAATTTTTTTTAATAGATGGTGTTACAAAGGAACGCAAAAAGTGGTCAAAATGTAATGTTTCCTGGGTTTTTCTTCCTCTTTTCTCGAAATTGATGGTGACTCATAGGATATTTAATGCATCACACTTCCTTATAATAAATTTGTATAATTATTTTGTCAAACACCTATAAAATATTATATATTACAGCAGTCATCGGTAGCTACATCAATAGACCTAAAACAAGCTCAATCTATAAAGAAAGTAACCACAGATCGCACAGGAATGCAGTTTGAAATTGCTACTAAGGATAAAACAACTGTCTTTGTAAGTATCATTATTTCTATACCTTTCTGAGAGAGAGAGAGAGAGAGAGAGAGAGAGAGAGAGAGAAATGGGGTTTAACATACATTCGACACAAACTAGATCATTTTGGGACTAACACATGTTTAATTTTATTTCAATAATTCGCTTGCACGTAGGGGTCTTTGGGAAGAAACCGGAGGAAACCCACAAGACTGGACAGGCAACCCTACTCCTTGTCACGTACAACCGGGGAATCAAAACCATACCAGTTGACTCTATGACAGACCTTATGATACAGTGCACACATGCTAACCATTTGGCCACCAAACCCCCCTCCATACCTTTCAAAATGCAATTTAATTGGCAGAAAATCTCTGGGAAGAATACTAGAACTATAACAATAGTTTGCCAGAATCTAACCATCCTGGTTGCTTTTAAAGTTAATTACAATGTAAGATTTAGATAAAGAGCTGACAGTTCTTGCTATAATAATTAAACCAGCGGTTACCATGCAAGATACACACACATTTTGAAAGAGATGGACAGCGAACAAGCTAAAAAAAAATAATGCGATTTTTATACGCCCACATTTTCATGTGGACGTATATTGTCGTCGCCCCTGTCCGTCCGTCCACAATTGTTTGTGAACACTCTACAGGTCCAAATTTTTATCCGATTTCAATGAAACTTGAAATATAGGTTTATCACCCTATGATCTTGGTTCCTTTTGATATTGGCATGTATTGGACTGTAACTTCATGGATTATGGCCCTTGATTGTAAGGAAAATCACGTTTTTAGCTTGTGAACACTGTAGAGGTCACAATTTTTATCCGATTTGGTTTAAACTTGAAATGTATGTTTATAACCCACAGATCTTGGTTCCTTTCGATATTCGCGCATATGGGACCATAACTTTCTGAATTATGGCCCCTGATTGTACAAAAAAAATCGTGTTTTTAGCTTGTGGACCCCATAGAGGTCACAATTTTTATCCGAATTTAAAAAAACGTTACAATATATCACTGTTACACCCTAAGGATGGTTGAGTTCGAATTTTTGGTACAATCAGGGGCCATAATACACGAAGTTACAGTCCGATACATGCCTGAGATTTTTTGGAGATAAACCTATATTTCAAGTTTCGTCAAAATCAGATAAAAATTGTGACCTGTAGACTGTCCACGAACAAACCATGGACTGACGTCTGGACGGACAGGGACAATGATAATATAAGTCCACATAAAAATGTGGCTTATGTGGGCGTATAAAAATAAATAATAGAAATGAAATATGTTGAAAATTTCAATCAAATCACTTCATTCTGATTGGAGTTACGGCCATTTGAAGAACATTGTAGTCTTGATTGCCATTGCTACTGTTGTTACGATAATAAACAAAGTCTCGATTATCCATTTTTTAATGAAAATATTAACTGACAATCGTGTTTAAATCGTTGAAAATCAAAACCATCTGATGGTCTAGAGAGTTGATTATGGGCTTGGTATGTGAATAATTGTCTAATTAATGATTTCTATAACTTTTGAGACCAAAGGAAAGATCTGCATTAAGCAGATTTAGCTCTTACATAATGCATCTTTAAAGTTTAAACTGTGGTCCAACACATTTAGTAACTGTGGTTCATGCTAGAGCATGCAATGAATTCTCCCATTGGTTCTACCGTGACCATCTGGAGCAAAATTTTCGCAAGATAGTCAAATAGCCTAGAAATGAGGTTTCATACATGTATACAAATTACAACATCTCTGCAGGTCCAAATTCTTTACAATTTTTTTCTATAAATTGACATGCATTTTTCTTTGAGTTGAAATTTAGAATGTCACAGTTCAAATTTATAAAATGTTGTGATTGTGAATTAGTTCTGAGTTCATGATGGAAGATTTTTTATTTAGGTATAACCAAGGACATATTTAATTTCAGTTCGTAAATTTTCGAACAAGTCCTGCCAAGATATCTTTGAGGTTATATTTTATTCTATAATGCATGTGAACACTACGCAGGACAAAGTTTTTAATGGATTGTTTAATGAATTGGTTTGACTAAAGAGGGGACCCTATCAAGTTTGGGGGTCACAAATCATTGGGTTACCATCCCTGGAGGTGTAGTATCGGGTGTTCTATAAAGAATAAGTGTAAGCTACTTCGCTTCATATGCAGCAGCCTGTTTCATTTGACAGCAATGTCTAATGACCAAAAGTAAAGTCTCTTTGTTTTTTATTATTATTCTACATTATTTTTCAGACTGCCAGTTCTCCAGAAGAATGCAATGACTGGGTTAAACATCTACAGACAGCTATGACCAGAAATGATAATAATGTGTTAGTATTGCCATTGTATTACCTTAGAAGGGCAACATGCTTGAATATGAGTCAAACATAGTGTCTAAGACCATACTCATAAAAAACATTATTCACATCAATCAATTCTAAATTTACCATCAGTTTCTATTGTTTTCACACCGCCATCTTCCTAACTGGGCCTGAGTTCATAAAGATAGGTAACCAGTCAGTGAAACATACATGTACATCACAATGAGCATTTAAAAGTGGTTATGGGCAACATAGAAACATTCTATTAATTAAGCTTCTATATGTCACCGTAACATAAACGATGTATATAAGCTTAGAATTCAAGTCAATCAGATGATAACTTTGGTCTTTAGAGCTTTGATTGGTATGGACAGATGGTTTGACTGTAATCTACAACCATATTTAAATGTAGTGTTATATAAAAAAGTGAAAAGGTTATATGTAGGTCAAGTTTTGAATGTCATTTAGAAGTTATGCACAAACTGAACCATAAAAGTATAAGTATTTTGAGATTATGGTTTTATAATTTATATAGTGCATTGCAGGGACTCAGTGAGAGGGACGCAATGACGAACTTTGCGTCATGGTTTTGAGTTTTTGCGCCCCCCTTGAGTTTTTGTGCCCCCTTGCAAATGGCAAACAATCATGCAGTTTCAACGTGATTTTCAACATTATAATCATAATGCTTAACTAGTGTCAAACATATACCGGGAGTCGGATATGAAACAAAACAACTCTAGCATGTTCCACACAGACTAATATTACCTGGCGGCACTGGGAGCCCCCCCTCTCCCACCCACACATATATTGTTTTTGGGAGGCCCGGATGGGATCTTGTTCTTATGCAAAATCATGGGTCTACAGGCCCCTGGCACAATGAAAAAATTTCAGTTTGCATTTTCACATAAATTTCTATATGGCTATTTATAACTTTAGTTCATATACCAACTAGCGAATTCTTCTTATTAATTCATTTTTTTTTTCAATAAATGGATATAATTTATTACATTACAGGAAATCAAATTCATCAAGTGATGTAGAACAAGTTCAATCACAGTCTGTATCATTGCCAGATGATTATGCAGAAATATGTGATCCTATCGTAGAAATGAGGCATAAATCAAATACAGCTAACGAAAACCAAACAGAAAGTTCAATCTATGAATCTGTAAACATAGATGATGACGTATTTAACAGAGCAAGTCAGACTGTAGATCAAGATATTAACAAGAGTGACGCACACAAATCGAAAAGTTCAACCAAGTCTGTTGAATATACTAAAGTCTTACAAAAAAATCAAAGGACACAACAAAATAATAATAAACAGTCTGAAACAGTTCAGACGAATATCTTTCGAAATCGTGACAACAGTTCAGATTCTGATGGTGAATCGATAGATGACATCCATGCCTTAATTCCACAATCTTTTCCATCTATTCCAAAAGATCAACACACATTAAACAAAAAGGATTTAAGTCCATTGTCAGATTTACAAAATTTTCTATCGAATAATAACTTCAAAAGGGGATCATATCAACATGGTGATAATGAAGATCCATTTAAATCATTGAAAAGTTACATGAACTCATTGAACGTACAATCAAACTAGTACATGGCATTAAAAACTCCATAAAGCTAATTTTGTATATTTGTATTGTTTATTGTTTAGTCACTTGCAAAATAAAGGCTGAATGGTTACTATCTGTTACAAAATTTGAATAGTAATTTAAAAATTACTTTTGCTTTTGTTCAATGTGTAAGTTAAAACATGCAAATCAAAAAAATAACATGATTAATTTCAATTCTGCACAAAAAAAAAATCTCGACAAAAATAATTTAGTCAAATAACTCTGAGTTTCAGAATATATTACCACGCAGTATTTTCACAATTAGTTGCTTTACAAAATGATATAACACATATATATAGATGTTTGTTCCAGGCTACTTCCTTATCATAGCAGTTAGAAATGTTGCTTGAAGGAGTTAAATCGCTAATATTTGATACCTAGAAATTGACATATATGGGTCGAAATGCATATAATAATGTAATTTGAAAGTATATAAACTGATTTACATTCAATCGTTTCCGTTTTTACCCTAATTTCAAATCAGTTATGGTCGACGAAATACACGAGAAGTCTCAATTAAATGGCAATCTCTAGCACCTGGTTATTCCAGTCTACAGCAGTAGTATTTATTGCGCATGCTCTTCAGATAAGAACATGACGTCACCGTTTGACACGACTTGTGGAGTATGTCTAGTCTCGTTCTTTGAGTCCCTTGTTACAAATGGTGCTGAAACACAGTCTGGTACACGATTTGTGTACCAATGGTAAAATGTTTATTTTGTCTTAAATATTGGATATCAGAACATCAATGTTTAATTAAATTCACAAATAATTTGTGTTTTCAATGTCAAAGACTGGGCATACTTTAATGCATGTGCCGACTGCATCAAAAAATATCTCAACAAATCATGACAGCTGAAAAATATTTGTTACTTAAAATACATCACAATTCTACTCACACCACCTCAGCTGCCGGGACTGGTAGAACTGTGACAGGGCTGAATTATCAATTTAGGACTGACAATCGAGCACCCTTATTGCAATACATTCAGAATTATAAACTGGGCACAACAATGTTTGAAAAAAATCTATTAACATAAAAATGTAAAGATAATCTTTTGAGAATAGGCAATATCTTTCCTTGTTAATTACAAAAGTACATATTTATGAAGTAAATAGAATGTCTAGTGTAATGTTATGTCAATTTTCAATCCAAAATTACCATATGATCTATTTAGAGTATAATCATAGTACTGGTTTTCATAGAAAATGTCTAAGAATTCTCCCATTATTATTATTATTATTGTAGTACTTCTTTTAGTTTAGTAAAGATCCTTTTTTTACAATAAAATACTTTAATATTATTGTCTATTGTTTTTTTTTTATTTATGTAATGTCAATGCACATTTTACGATAGTGTATTTATGAGGAAAATAGTTTTCCTGCTTCAATAAACTTTTTTTTTGTATTTGAATAGTGTGTAATGACAATGTTAAGCATAATCCAAATTTAATAGTGTTTTTACACAAGTTCATTCAAGTCTGGCAGATATGACTCAAACAAGAGCCTTGGTTGAAACAAGCCAACAGTGAGGTTGATGGCCCCTGCCTAAATCCCAAAATAAATAGATGACACATATCGATTACTTGCACATTTATCTTTTTGTAAAACATCAACCAATCAAATTGTTTATCTCTGCTTAGCCTTAGCAAAAAATGGTTATTATCGAAACAAAGTCAAGACAATTAGCAAATGAATATCTACACCAAGTTTGAGAGAGAGAGAGAGAAATGGGGTTTAACATCCACTCGTCACAAACTAAGTCATTTCGGGACTAACGTATGGTTTAATTTTTTTTATATACTCTTCAAAAAAAATATGATATGATAAATAGTCATGGACACTTGACATGCTTTGAGAGTATGTTCACAGATGAAGAACTTATCACCCCAACAGAACCACTGAGCTGCACATGCGACACGCAATAGCGCCATACACGTGGGAGGGGTTCATTGTCAAATTTGACACTTCAAGGAAGGGTTGATGAAAACTGGAGTTTGCTGGTATATCCTATCCATGTTTGCTTTCCTATCGGTTCTTGCATAAGATTTACTGTTTAGCGTATCTTTGCTTTAGTGTGTTATGTTTAATTTGATCGGGAGACCTGTTCTTCGGAATCTACGTCAACCGACAACACTGCAAGAATTGGCCGTGGCACTGCAAGAGGAGTGGGCCAGATTGCTCTAAATCATGATTGAACAGTTGATTAGGAGAGAGAGAGAAATGGGGTTTAACGTCCACTCAACACAAACTAGGTCATTTCAGGACTAACATATGGTTCAATTTTATTTCCATAATTTGCTTGCACGTAGGGGTCTTTAGCAGCAGTGGGAGGACCCAGAGAAACCCATGAGGGTGGACAGGTGGGTCGCGTACTCCTTGTCACGTACAACCAGGGATTCGAAACCATGCCAGTTGACTCAATGACAGGCCTTATGATACAGCGCGCACGTGCTAAGCATTCGGCCACCCAATCCAACCCCCCCCCCCCACACACACACACCAAGTTTGAACATTATAACCCAATTAGAAGTTATTGTATTCCAAACACACAGGCAAACCCATCTAATCAGTTAATCGAAAATACAAAACATTACTATAATTATATTCAATTAACTTTTTAAGAAGGGAAAATAACAAAATCTTGAACTGTACATTTTATTTATGAAAAATATTTGGAAGAAAGATATAATAGAACATTAGCATGATTAGTACTCTTATACAAAGACAAAGTATTTATAACAATACATAATAATGTAACAATAAAACAATAACTGGATAAAAATGAATATCTTATTTTGATCAATTGATTAAGTTTGTCCAGAATTTATAGAGAATACACTTTTCTTCAACTGTTTAATGATAATTTTTTCAATTATACTCTATTAATTAAAACATTACAAAAATAAATAATAGTTAAATATGGTCAGTTAATAATGTCCATTTGTTAGATAAATGATGTGTTTGACTGAAAGATGTTTTAATAAAACCAGATCTTGTGATAGTGAGGTATTACACTATTGATTTCAGGTTCTAAAGTCCTGTCAATTAGGATAAAAAAAATTAATTATTGTCAATTTGTAATGTCATATGTAATTCAGCCTTTGTTATATTCGAAAATGAAATTGTTTGGAAAACTGAGGCTATGTTAAAGCAAGGTACTAGGGATTAAGTTAATACAAATATTTAGATGCTAGAACTGTGCTCATTGTAAAATAGCAAGTAAATAAATATACATCTGTAATTTATCCCATGCTGAAAATAATCTTGTACATTATTGATAGTGTATAGCACTATATATACAACAATCCTAGATGATTCCCTCTCATTAATAATCAAATAATGTCTCTTTGTGCCGTATATTGACTAGTATAATTTGAGTCTTTTTGTCACATTTCAAAAATGCTCTTTATTGACTAACATAGTCAATTTAAATAAATAAAAGTATTGTATACATGTAAAATAAATTTTTCACTCACATGAAATAAATAATACCATAACATATTGTGGAATGATAAAAAAAAATGTAAAACATGTACGATATCTTGCACTACTTTCTTTTTTTAATCATATATATATATATATATATATATATTTATATGCTCACAGCCCTGTTATATTATTGAATTCAAAGACATTTATTGCAAAGAATGCCCTTGTTTCTGAATAAATTCTTCCAATGTTTTTAACACACTTAGCGTTTCTGATGTAGCATCAATTTTTACATATCTTATCAACAGTTCACCTGATCCACACTTACGTAAATAAAGATAAGATCTGTAAAAAGACAAGAACATGATTTTCAGAAGATTATATCATAACTGAACTATGATGGAGATCAATAAATAATATTTTAAAAATTCGTATGGTTGGCTTTATATCAGACATTATAAGTTTCTTGTTCAGTTTGAACCAGATATGTTGATAATTCTAACTCATACATCATTCACTGATAAATAGTGAATATGAATACGAACAACCACATTAAAATGTGAGTATGTAACAAAAATAAAATAAAAAATATTAGTCTAAGAGTAATTAACTTTCTATAATAGCTATATGTTGGTACATTTCAAGTTGTTAAGAAATGATGCATCTTGATTTATTGTTTGTAAGATTAAAATGTTACCTGTATAAAGCATAATGATCAATTTCAGCTTGTTTTAAAAATCTCTTTACTTTGTTTAAGTTATGAATAAACTGTAAAATATAATGCAATCATTTAATATCAAATTAACAAAATTCACATTCTGGAATTCATCCAACAGTTTATTGATTGATTACCAACTAGTCTATAGACAGACATACAATACCTATACCTGTAAATGTTATTTTATAAATTACACCTGGGTTACCACATTAGAACCATATTTATCTATGTGGGGCAAATAGGTGTTATGATATTAAATCAAATTTGATTTTAGAAAAAGTTATAGAATTTGGCAAAGTCATCTAAAGCATGTAGGTCGCAAGACCACTTTAATTTTGGAAGCAAAATAATGACAACATTTAGGTATGTCCTAAACAATATATTCACCTATAAATTTAAAATTTGATAAAGAAGATCTGTCAAAAATATGGTATGGAAAATTTGAAAAAAAAAAAAAATGCCAACCATTGCTAAGAGATAGTTGTTATAAGATTTATTGCCAGAAGTTTGTGAAATGTTCATACAAAATGCATTATTTCTGTTACGTCTTTTTTGTATTCCCGATTGTTTTCAAACTTGAGTGAAGTCTGTGATACTACAGGCCCGGGACGGTACAGCGCAGTGGATGCTTACGGCTGGCCCCCGGATCCATTCACTTGATTTGATATTTGTTTATTTGGTGTAATGTCTATTTTCTGTCTTGTCCGTAGGTTTATCTTGTAGATTTTTGTTTTACGTGTAGTGTGGTCCTCCTGCACTTACTATATAAGTGTCATACACTAGACAGGGTATGTATACTCTTTCTAGAAAGGTTCATTAACCGTGCAGATAACAAATAATTCAACATCTATGCTCTACCCTTAACCTAACAGTTTACGATAATCTTATTTTAAAAAAAAACACACTGAACAAAATAAAATGCTAACATTTCTTTAAAATCATATGTCATGGTAGAAATTTTACTTACTGCTAACTTTACTGACTCTAACGAATCACGCAATTTTGTTATGTTTTGAGACTCAATAGTTAAAAGATGTTCTCCAGCTAGTCTACAAAATTGACTTGGAATGTTACCTTTAAAATACAAATAAGTAAATATGTTAGTCAAAAAATGAAAATAATGATAATTTAATTCCGGGGTTCTAAAATCCAACTGCACTTAGTTAAAGCAGAACTCCAATTAAAAATTACAGAAATAATTAAATAAAAAAAGGTAACACCCTAAACGACCGCCATACTTGTTTTAAATTTGAAGAAGAAACATGGTGATCGCTTAGGGGTAACAAAAACACAGGCAGGCCACGCCCACATCCAGTGTATCCTGTGTCAAGCAAACTGTCCACATCCGGTTAGCCAGTCAACTACCAATTGCCTCCTGACTGATTGAAGTTCTCTCACTATCACTACTATCAGCTGACTAAAAATATTATTGCTAAACAATTATTATACCTGATCAGCTTTAATGTTTTCACAACATACAGTAATTAGATAACAATATCAATTTTCCAATATTCCAATGAGACATAAACATTTTGCTCCAACAGATATTTTCATGTAAGCAGGAAGTTCTTTCATAGTATTTTATCTTTTCTTTTCAACGAAGTCCACTCACCGTTAGTGTCAAAAGTTACAGAATCTTTGTCCAAGTTTAATTTGATAATGGGCTGATTTCTAATATCAACGAGATTGTCATCAAGTTCTGGTCTTAACTGTTCAACAAGTGGAGCTATACTACAACACTGAACAAATCTGTGAATAAAAGCATAAAATCAGATATAAACAAGCCGACAGTGAGGCTGATGTCCCCAGCAGATGTCCCAAAATAAATAGATGACACATACTAATTAATTGCACATTTATCTTTTTGAAAAGTATCGAGCAATCAAACTGATTATCTAATCTTAGTCTAAGCAGAAAATTTTCACAATCAAACTCAGTCAAGGTTCATCACTCTCTATCAGTTAGAATCAAAGTTATCGACCAAAGCATCGACTAATGAAACTGCTTAGCTTTAGTGGAAAATGTTAATCATTGAACATCTACACAAAGTTTTAAAAACCGAACTAAATTAAAATCAAGAGTTGTTATGTTCCGAAGTCTTGACCAATAAAATTGTTTATCACTACGTAACCAAAGCAGAAAATTCTTTTCATTAAACTCAGTCAAGGTATTGATGTAATTTTAATAAAACTATACACAAAGTTTCACCACTCTAACTCAATTAGAATCAAAGTTATAAAGCTCTGAAGTCTCAACCAATCAAATTACTTACCGCTCTGCTTATCCACAGTAGAAAATGTTAATTATTGAACTTAGTTAAGGGATTGATATAATGAAGGTGTGTCCTCACTGTGCCCACTTTTGATTAATCCAATTAAGGTCTAATTAGGATTAGTGGATTAAGCGGATTAGGATTAGGTGTTATAGGTAATTAGATGGAAAAAAAACCCAAATATTTTATGTAATTTTTTTTTTATTTTTCGATGTTTTATATATATTTAATAAAAATATAACATCCATGGATATATCATACATCACATTAGCACTTTATAATTTAATGAAAATATAACAATTTTCGATGTTTTATATATAAAATATGTAATAAAAATATAACATACATGGATATATCATACATCACATTAGCACTTTATAATTTAATGAAAATATAACAATTTTCGATGTTTTATATATAAAATATGTAATAAAAGTATAACATACATCACACAAAAACAAGATAAACAATGAAAATTTACAATGTAGTTAAACGGGCTACGCCATCGGCATACTCGAATACAGTCTTTATACTGTTCTGAAGATCTGTTTTCAGAGTTTGGAGTCGGGTTTCTAGTTGCCTGTACTTTCTTCTCTTACGCCGTAATTTTCCGTTGGCACCTAACTGGAGAATGGTTACTTCGGAGTAAGCTTGTTCATTCTTAAAAAAAGCCACCAACTTAAAAATATTTGGGTGAGGGGTGGCAATAATGGATGTTATCTTGGAATGCCATCCTTCAACATGGTTCGTTGTGCGTGGACCTTCAGTGTGGAAATGGTTCCACATCATTCTGCCATGCTGCCCCTCCACCCAGAACTCAGTTACGTAATCTGCAAATTGCAACACTCTGGCATCTTGGAGTGGTGCATCATCAAGGGCATGCAGCCATACATCTTCAACCTGCTGTATTGGAATTAATGGTAATGCTGCTGCTTGCTTGACGATTTTATTGATTTCTGGCACCCGAGAAAAATCTGCTTGTAGTCCATATTTCTGCGCATTGCGCCAAATACACTGACCAAAGTGAAAAAAACCAACCTTTTAGTTCTGACCTCGGCAACACAGTTCTCACAGCATTTTGCATACTAACTTCGAAATCTGTAAACACATGGCCTGGGTTAAGATTAACATTGACAAGTGCCAATGTTTTGTCTCTAACACATCTGAGGAACTCAACATATGTTGCCTCCTTCTTATCGGGTAATAGTGCATACACCTAAGGGAACATTTTATTGTGTACAAAAGCATGTATAGTGTAGATCTGGGTGAATAAGGTAGGACTCATGCTAAATGTTCCATCACAGTATATAGTGTCTGCATTGGCGAGATGGTAAAGATTTTCTTGTGTGGAAAACACTAGAAACCTGTTGTCGGCTGCTGCGTGGAGAAGGAAGTCGTCTCCGGATGTGGTCTTGGTGTAAGAATCTGGAAGCTGGATATCGTTGCGGGTCTGAGGAAGTGCTGGGAGGATCTTTGCTCGGGCTCTATACAGGGAAGCACAGCAACTATAGAATGTTGGAATCTCTCTGATCATCTCACCTGAGTCACGGTCAGATCGAAGGGCTGTAAACAAACAAAAAGAAAATATTTATTATACATATTATTATATCATTAATACTCGACCAGACACTTGATTGGTTTGTTACGGAAGAACATGTTCAGTATGCTTTAACGTTGAATCATTTAAATCAACGGCACACAACATTAGAGATAAATACATACCTGATACTTCTTCTTGATAGATGGCACAGACTGGTTTGGTTTCCTCTTGCACCTTGGTTTTCATGGCAACGAGAAATTTGTCGACTGCCACCTTGTGTGGGTTAGCAACATGGTTGTGGTTTCTGGAATATTTGGTAATATAGCCTTGGTGGGTGTTCAGGGTTGCTGGACAACCTTTTATACAACATCTCCAGTATACTCGTTCTGCCTTCCTATTCTTCACTCGGAATTTGTATTCTTCATGGACTAAGTTTTCTCCACCTTGAGCATTGGGGATGTACTGGATGTTTACTTGAACGTTTGCCATGATGAAATATGACAGACTGACTTCTGTGTGTCCTTATAAAGACCGTGTAATGTGTAGGCTTACTGAACATAATTCATATTATATTCAAGTGTCATTTTTTGAATAAAATTCATCACTTTAACGATTACAGTGAGTTCATCTCACCAATTATAAGACTGAATATTTAGTCACTTTCAATATTTGTTTTTTTCCATCTAATTACCTATAACACCTAATCCTAATTAGACCTTAATTGGATTAATCAAAAGTGGGCACAGTGAGATGTAACCATAATGAAACTATAAATCAAGTTTCATCACTCTCACTTAATTAGAAGCCAAGTTTTCATGCCCCAAAGCATCAACCAATCAAATTGCTTATATCTGCTTACCCTAAGCAGAAAATGCTCATCTTCGAACTCCATTAAGGCATTCACCTAATAAACACCTACACTAAAGGCTTTTTTATCGACTTGCCAAATCGATTTGAATTTAGTGGAGATGTCATGTGACAATATAGTCGATTTCAAAGTACTTTGGCGAGTTCGTTAAATGCTCCGATTAGCTGTAAACAATTGTTGTGGCTGGACACAGTTGAAAAAAACACGTGATCACCCGACCAAATCGTCAAATTTGAGGCTTCAAGGCGTTTTTTGATTAGCCAAAGTGATTTGCATTCAATCAAATTACATCAAATCGCTTCGGAAATCGGTGTTGATAAATTCGTTGATTAGGGTAACCAATTTGAATTAGATGGACGTTAAAGATGAAAATTTGATTGAATGCAAATCACTTTGGCTAATCAAAAAACGCCTTAAAGCCTCAATACCACTCTTATTGTAACTGAATAATATGTCACAATCTTTATTCTGGTCAACAAATTGTACTATTTTAGAATATTTCAATTAACTGATGATACAAATTTCATCTTAACACACCTTATTTAAAAATTTTGAAAAATTCAACATAATGGTTTGAAACGTCTAACGTAAACCTTTTCAAATGAAACTTCGATTTAAAAATATTTTCGAACATTCTGGACAAGTAAAATAGGATGTAATGGATAATTTACACAACAGGTAGGACACTTAAACATCTACTACTTAGATAGAGATATTATTTATTGTCTGGAGCTTTCAAGCCAGCAAGAGTGTTATTGTCCCTTTAAGTTTTGAACATTCTACCTCAATTAGAAGGGTAGTTATTGTGTCCCAAAGTCTCGACCAATCAGATTGAAGTATCTACTTAGCCTAAGCAAAAAATGCTCACCATCGAACTTAGTCAAGTTTCACCATTCTCACTCAATTAGAATCAAAGTTATCGAGCTCCAAAGTCTCAACTAATCAAAATTCCTTAAGCTCTGCTTACCCTGAGCCGAAAATGCCCATTATCAAAAATAGTCAAGGTATTAATATATTGAAACTATACATCAAGTTTAATCACTCTAGCTTAATTAGAACCAAAGTTATTGTGTCACAAATCATCAACCAATGCTTTCAGCTTATCTCTGCTTAGCCTATGTAGAAAATGCTCATCTTTGAACTCCATCAAGGCATTCACCTACACCAGGTTTGAACATTCTAGATCAATTAGAAGGAGAGTTATTATGTCCTAAAAAGTGTGATAGACCCATTTTAATAATCCCCCATTAAAATAGGTGGGGGACAAAAATAATAATAATCCCCTACCCTGCCCATAAACAATTGTAATTCTTAGTTAAATACTTACTTATTGATGTCTTCCTCTTCTTGTGGTGTAGCTCCTGTTATAATTAACTGAGCATCAAGCAATGACTAAAACAAAACAAACTGATTTAGTTAATTAATATTAATGTAATAAATACACTAAATGTGTATAAAATGATAAAATTGTTTATAACCAAACATGAGGTATTTGCCATAGCTACATGTAAACATAGGAGAGGATTCAGTTTTATTTCTAGAGTGTCCACAACTTTCGTATTACGTACTTTTACACACTTTGCGTACAAAGAGCGGCCATTTTGTCGGGCTGTCGGTTTTGATTTTCCCCTTCATTATGGTGGAACAGTGATTTATTTAAACGTTTTTTAAAATCGGATAAAATTTTTCCGTACAATCAGGGGCCGTAATCCAGGTAGTTCTGGTCTGATATGCGCAAATAGCAAAAGGAACCAAGATCTTTGGGACATAAACATATATTTTAAGTTTCATCAAAATCGGATAACAATTGTGACTTCTAGAGGGTCCACAACCTTGGCATGACATACTTTTACACTATTTGCGTAAAAGCCATCGCCATTGTGTCAGGCAGTTTTGGTCCGACTTTCACAAAATCATTAGGGTCTAACGGTGATAAATTTAACCATTTTTTAAAATTGGGTCCACAAGCTAAAAATGAGATTTTTCGTACAATCAGGGGCCGTAATCCATGAAGTTATGGTCCCATACATGCCAATATCGAAAGGAACCGAGATCTTTGGGAGATAGACCTATATTTCAAGTTTTTTCAAAATCGGATAAAAATTGTGACCTGTAGAGTGTCCACAAATGGACAAAACAAAGGGTTCAATGCATACTGCTAGTGTAAAACAAAATATAAAGGACTTACTGAAAAAATAAGATAATGTATGTTTTTATTAAGCCTTTTCACGCATCTGGTTAAATATTCTAAAACTGTTTGATGCCAACTATCCAGATAATCTTTTAAATTAGTATCAATCTGTGATAACTGCAATAACAACAACAGAAATGATTATTTCGGTAGATGTACAAAACTATAATCATTATAATAATAGCGGTACATGCCATCAAGTTAATATGCTCCACATGATTATAGCTTAAAAACATGTCATGTTCATTTCCAGAATTGATTTATTTCATGAGATTACATGTGATTTCAGATCTTTCCCTTTTTATAATTTTAAACCAGAGATATATTAAATGTTAAAACATGTGTCAAAGATATGTACAAGTTCAGTATTAGTATTATGTAAGCATAAACTACATAAACAAGTTATGTCATAAAAATGATTTATTGTTGATCATTATTATATAGAGTATCAAAATGAAATGAAATTGGGTTAACATCTTACTGTTCTGCACAAACCAGGCTAATGAAAACAGGCATATGTCATGCAGCTGCTATGAGGGAAATTTGCCCAGACAGTGGGTTTTATGCCCACTCTGCAAGTAGTTCCAACTGTAGAGAATCCTATTAAGGTACACGGCAATAAGGAGCATGGGTGGAATTCTGTTTTTAGTACCATCCAAGGCATTCAGACAAGGGAGAAGTACACATAGACTTGAATATCCTGAGTACCATTGTACCAACTATCAAGAATGTTCAAATCAGTAATATCAAACAATAATAATTCTAAAAAAAATATCAGAAATGCTATATTTGTATGGTATACCCGTACAAGTATCATCCAAGTTTCATATTAATTTAATCAATGCAGCTCACCTGTTGACTGGTTGGATCAGAAACAAGAACAGAGGACTGTGTAATACACATGCAGACAGCAAAGGAAATGCAGAAAAAGGGAAAAAGATTAAATATACACATTGTATTGTTGGTTTTATAGTATTGGTATGCGTGTCAGCACAATTCAAAAAAAGATAATATATGAAGCAAAAATAAAATGCTTAGAGTTACAATCAACAACTTATCATACAATATTATGAATATAGAATAAAATGTTCAATGCTATAAACTGCTAAAAAATAAAACAGATGCTGAGCTTATTAATGCCTGCGGTTTTCAAAACGCAACAAATCTTCAGCAGAAATAAATTACTTGCTTTAAGTTTAAGTAAAGATTTAACATTTAACCTATATGAAATGGCTACAAAAATCTACAAACAAATAATGACTCAATCTTAAAAGAAAATTATATTTTATATTCAAATACAAATACTGTTTTAGAGTTATTTTTCTGGATGTGGTCTAAGGGGAGGTAATATTGCACTAATGACTCATACCACAGTTATCTCCCTTTACTAGATTTAATATGTCTCATTGCTGATGTAGCTCATAAATTACATTTTTATTACCAATATGATACCTGTGGTGTGAGTGTGGCTAAAGTCCGTTTGGAAAACATGTACTAATGGGATTTATATGATGCAATGATACATGAAACATTCACTAATCAATGTACATGTATTTTACTCACCTCAGCATCAAGAAGTTTAGTTATACCTTTACAGTATGTATCCAACTCAAATCTAAATGTATACAGGTTAAGGTTATCATATCAGGTTTTCAAATTTAACCTCAGTGCGGAAAAAAACAAACTGATCAATTGGGCGTTCAAACCTGTGCAAAATAATGTCACATGCAACTTAAAAATCAGTATAATTTTTCAAAGAAATACACATTCTCAGCTTGACAGGTTTCCAAATCAACTAAAGTAGTGGCCAAAGAATCATGTCTATAAGTTTGTCATTGGCCCGGACCAGTACGATATTTTGAGAGGAAACATTTGGTTAAAGTTAATGAGCTATAATTTTTTTTTTTTACATTTTGGCATTAGATTTGCATACTTAAATGAACATGTATCAATCAACATGCTGTGAAATCTTGGATTGTTTAATTAAACAAAACACAAATCTTTTAAAGTAATTCAGTGTACCACAGTTTGAAATGAAATGGGATTTAACGTCCTACTTTTATGTACAAAACAAGCTAATGAAAATAGAAATATGGCATGCAATTTCCACCTAATCTTCATCTAATCTTTTACCTGCACGCTAAAGTGTACACAAGACCTCATTTTTTCGTATAATCTGAATGACTAGAAGTTCTTCCTTGTCATGCAAGACATCCAACACTACTGACAAGGGTAAGCCAGTTAGGAATATTTCAAGGAAATTTCTCACTCAGCTAACTCCCTGTGATCGAACACACGACCCACTAAGCTTCCATGACTCCCTAGATTATGCAATGTATGAATTAAATTTGAATGCTTTATGAACCAGTGGTTGCCAGGCAAGATACACCCACATTTTGCAAGAGATGGATAGAGAACAAGCTAAAAACAATAGTAATTTTTCCTACAATCGGGCCATAATCCAGAAAGTTATGGTCTGAAATGTGCAAATATCGAATGAGACTGAGATCTTTGAGATATAAAGAAAGATTTTAAGCTTCAACAAAAGCCGATAAAAATTGTGACCTCTAGAGGGTTCAAAATCTTCGTATTACATACTTTTACACAATTCTGTCTGACAGTTTCGTTTCGATTTTCCTGAAATTCGAATTCAACCTTCATTATTGTGGAATGATATACCTTATATACATTGTATTTACACTATTTGCGTAGGAGGGGCAGCCATTTTATCCAGCAGTTTTGATCCGATTTTCACAAAATTCGAATTAAACCATCATTAGGGTGTAAAGATGATATATTCAAAGTTTTTTTTAAATCGGATAAAAATTGTGACCTCTAGAGAGACCACAAGCTAAAAACGCAAATTTTTCGTGTAATCAAGGGCCATAATTCAGGAAGTTACGATCCGATATGTACAAATATAGACAGGAACCAAGATCTGTGGGTTATAAAGATATATTTCAAGTTTCATCAAAATCTGATCAAAATTCTGACCACAAGCTAAAAACCTGAATGTTCGTACAATCATGGGCCATAATCCATGAATTTATGGTCCGATACATGAAAATATTGAAAGGAACCGAGATCTTTGAGAGATAGACCTATATTTCAAGTTTTATCAAAATCGGATAAAAATTGTGACCTGCAGAGTGTCCACAGACAAATTGTGGACAGACGGACGGACAGACAGAGGCGACGGCATAATACATGTACGTCCACATGAAAATGTGGGCTTATAAAAAGGATATAAATCTAGAGAACTATCAGAAAAAGAAACAAAACAGACAACAAATTGTTTGTACTCTGGTTCTCCATTGTTTTCTATTTCTATAGGTTCACAGGACAGAACATTATAATAGCAAACTGCTGAATTGCTGATATCTTCACTTGAACTATAAAAAAAATGAAAGATTTGTAAACCATTATATATATAACACAAACAGTATTGAACACACATGCAGCATTGCAACACTTGTCTTGGTCCATTTTAACATTACCACACCCATAGATAATTTTTCTGGAAAGATAAAAGATAGGTTGCCAGGCAACCAAACATACGCCCACAGCAGCTAAATCGTCCGGGCAGTCAACACGAGTTGTCGCATATTTTTACTTTTTTCGGTAATGAAACATTTATAATACACTAAAATCTGATTAAGAGCAACAAATCAGAAAACCATTAGAATTTGTTTGGTTTTTATAAAGTTCTGCCCCATGCTAACGTTTTGTATACAAAACTTTTAATACTGTATCATGGATTTAGCTGTTCCAAGTCATAAAAATTCATTGAAAATCAATATACTTGTTCGTCTCAAGATCTTAAACTCTGTGTATCAATCTGAGGTCAATCGGATATTAACTTTGGCCTCTAGAGCGTCCACAAGATTTTTCAAAGTGATCAAGGGCCATAACTTTGGCAGTAATTATCAGAAATCTTTGAAAATCAATAGGATTCTTCGCCTCGTGACCTCAAACACTGTGTATAAATTTAAAGTCAATCAGATATTAACTTTAGCCTTTAGAGCATCCACAAGGTTTTTTGAAGTGATCAAGGGCCATAACTCTGGCAGTAATTATCGAAAATCACTGAAAATGAATAGACTTCTTCGTCTCATGAGCCATAACTCTGGCAGTAATTATCGTAAATTGCTGAAAATCAATAGGCTTCTTCGTCTCATGACCTTAAACACTGTGTATAAATTTAAAGTCAATCGGATATTAACTTTGGCCTCTAGAGCGTCCACAAGATCTTTTGAAGTGATCAAGGGCCATAACTCTGGCAGTAATTATCAGAAATCGCTGAAAATCAATAGGCTTCTTCGTCTCATGACCTTAAACACTGTGTATAAATTTAAAGTCAATCAGATATTAACTTTGGCCTCTAGAGCGTCCACAAGATCTTTTGAAGTGATCAAGGGCCATAACTCTGGCAGTAATTATCGGAAATCGCTGAAAATCAATAGGCTTCTTCGTCTCATGGCCTTTAACACTGTATATAAATTTAAAGTCAATCGGATATTAACTTTAGCCTCTAGATACGGACGGACGGACGGGGGCGACGACAATATACGACCACATTTCAATGTGGGCGTATTAAAAGGGTTTCACCAGCCTCGAACATATTTTTTAATCCACCATATAGTGACAAAGAACCGTGCCTAGCATGGAAAAGGGAGCTTTGATAAGTGATAACCCAATCAATGCACAATAACATCTTGTCAAAACTGCTTCATTACCTGATTCCTAATGACAGAAAGTTTCCTGAACCTGGCATATAGGATCCCTTGGACAATTTATTGGCTAGACATCGACGTAGATCTGTTTCAGCAGAAGCTGACAAATTTGTAGCAGCTATACTTAAACTAAAATTACACTCATCTTCATTCGGCTTAGCATCTGGTGTTGTATTTCCATGTTTATTAGATCTGCAATAAAATGTAGATGTGTCTTTATACACGCTTTAAATAACATGGAGAATTCATGTAAAATTAAAGTAGAAGATCATTATGGTAAGGGCCTGGTTATCTAGATCCCATTCTGTGGACTGAAGAGGATGGGCTATATTTCATTGTCTGTATGCAGTAGGTAACACATGTACAACGACAATTCTCTTGCCTACTCAATTCTGAAAATTAACCATTGCAGCTGTCTTCATATTGGTCATTAACTACAACTTTTAAGAAAAATATTCTTTGAATAACTTTTACCAACCAGTAACTCAGAACTTGGCATTTGATTTAAGTCAGACATGTACTTGTTTGATTATATTTGATGAAAACTAGTTGCATAAGCTTACATAGTTACATCCTACATGTATTTTTCTAAAAACATTCATATTTATTAGATGCAAAAATGGGTATTGATCACATTGGTATGACTATGCACGTAAAAGAGCCTTTGGCAGCTGCAATTTGATATAGGAGTAGGCCGTACGGTGTACATGTAGCACCGCTGACTTCGTCCGCTCAGAGACAGTTTGTAAAAGGAACTACTAGCCTAAAGTTAGGCCTATAATTTATATATAAAGAAGTGATGTTAAATAGGCCTACAAAACAGTTTTGTAATGACTTCCGATAAAAGGCATGGATTGAAATGTCAATAATCGGCACAGTGAGCGTTCAACTAATATGCAAAGCTGTATCCTTCATACTAATAACTATGACTGAATATTGCTTGATTGGTTATTAAATAGCATGCTATATAGGCCTACTGTGTTTTTGTTGAAAAAACGCCCCACTCTCACACTCTGCAAGCCAAATATTAATTTTAATGTCAGTTTCTATTATATTACTGTTTGATTATTACAGAGCGAAGCTCTAAAGCACCGCACAAAGCGCGGTGCTGGAGCAAATCTCTTTTCCGGTAACACAGGAGCGTAATTGAAAATGTCACCCACAGACTGTTGATTAAAAAAAAATTCAGACCGGAACCGGATACACTGGGCAAAACAGGCAATGCGCATGTCAGCTTACCATATCTCGCCCAAGCGAGATCTCGTAACTAACAAAAATAATTCTACACACCAAATCTCGCCAAGCGAGATTACACGCCTCATCATAGAAGTAGAACTATTTCTATGACGCGTCTAATCAATGACGTCACATATTTTTTACGTCAATGAAAATAATTCTCACACTTTTTTGTTCTTTTTTTAAAGACAAAATTAATGTATAAAATTTAGATCTAAATAAAAATCACTTTTAAAAAACTAAATTATTAAACATTTTTTGTATCACTTGAGAAAATTAATTATAAAGGTTTTATATTTGACAATAATCACTACTGTCTGAGTCTTGGTAAATTTAAACGGATTTCTTCGATTATGAACAAACTACTTAACTTTGGTTATTATAAACTTACCTGTGTGTTTGTAATGAACTCCCGTTCGATAAAATCCATTGCACAACTAATTATCACAACGATGAAAACAAGTTCTCTCTTGAAAAATTGAAATATCACAAACTTTTCCCAGAGAAAAATACCAATATGGAAGATGGTTACGTCACTCTGCGGAAGATATCATTTCGTATTAGGGGTGACAGCATAGGAAATTCAAGTACAATTACGACAAGAATCCATGACCACTCGGACCAAAGACCACTCGGTTCAAGACCAGTCGGACCAACTGATAGACCACTCAGCCCAAACAAGTAGACTACTCGGACCATACAAAAAGACTATTCGGACCCAACAGAAAGACGACTCGGACCAATAACAAAGTGTTGTTTTAATAAATTGATAATTGCGTTTGTTTTAATATGATTACTCGAACCAATAATAAAGTGTTATTTTAATAAATTGATAATTGTGTTTATTTTAATATGACTACTCGAACCAATAATAAAGTGTTATTTGAATAAATTGCTAATTGTGTGTGTTTTAATATGACTACTCGATCTAATAATAACGTGTTGTTTGAATAAATTGATAATTGTATTCCAAATCGCAAAATATCGAGAACCACACTTGTAGTCACGTTTAAAAAGGGGCATATAAACGTCTGGTCTTCGTATTATTATGTGCTGTTTATATTAACGCATCAAGAGCGGATAACTTGAAAACGTGTCCCCCCCCCCCATATATAGTACCCCAGGGGTTAGTGGGGTAGAACGGAATGAAACCACTGGGGATATTTAAGCGAATGTGGAAAAAGTAAAATTAGGCTATCAGACAAGAACAGTATACCCGTATATGTAGAAACTGTCAAAAGTCTGGACATACCGAGTCTCATTGCAAGAGTAAAGAAAAATTAGATTGATATTTTTTTTTGGCACCATTATTAATTAATTTTAAAACTAATCGTTGATTTATTTTCCGTACACAAAATTGAACTAAACAACTCTAAATATAAGAATTCCGTATAAGAATTATTTGCTTCTTTGTATTGTGATTTAATAATAAATAAATAGCATATTGTCTAGCCTTATAATATAATTTAATTGGTCTTAGTCCGAGTAGTCTTTGGTCCGAGTGGTCTGGATACCTACGACAATTGGCATTGAGTTTGAGCGTTCGCACACATAACTACCCGCATTCCTGTATTTAGTTACCATCTTTTACATTCTAGTAAAATCTCTGCAAATTTTATAGCTTTACTTTTTGAAATATTTTGTTCTAATTATTTGATTAGCGACTCGGATGGGATTATTTACTTTTGAACACGCATGCCGCACAAACACAACTATACATTCGTTTTACGGGCTTTATCACACTTTGGTCAAAACTGTCGAATCGAGAATTAATGTTCCGCTTCTTACGGGGTCATACGGGCTTAGTAGCATTATATACCCACCCGGGCACCCAATAGACACGCTGAGGGCTGCCGCAACACGCTTAAAGATGTTACTGAAGCGGTTATTATTCGATCGAAAGAATGCGTATAAAATTAAAAATACACTTAGAGAATTCGGAGGTAAGCTTCATGATCCTTGTTAAATTATTTATAACATAAAGAAAATAGGATATTTATAGTTTATACATGACTTTATTTTTACGAGTATCCGTGCAATCAGTGATATTTTAATTGTGAAGAAAATTTGATAGACTGGCGATCAATGGTTTCCATATAAATCTCCTATTTTATTGCCTTCAATTGATATTTTTCGTCGCCCAAACCCATATACAATCAAAATGATCGCGCTGTCAAACTATCTTTCAATGTTAACCAACCCCCGCAACAGGTATATTGGATTCGACCAATACGTCACGAAGACATTGTTGACATCGACTCAGTCGAAATTACAAGTAAATTTTCAAATTTTTCAAGAGAGAACTTGTTCTCATCGTTGTGATAATTAGTTGTGCAATGGATTTTATCGAACGGGGGTTCATTACAAACACACAGGTAAGTTTATAATGACCAAAGTTAAGTAATTTGTTCATAATCGAAGAAATCCGTTTAAAATTTACGATGGTTCACACAGTAGCTTTGCTCTACTCAGGCAATGCCTGTTACATATTACATTTCATTTAAAAATGATAATTACCTATTAGGGTAAAACGAATATAAGGCATAAAATCTGAGACAGTTATTATACGGTGCTTTTTTATCGGCATTTTGTTCACTTAAATTACTGTGAACAGATCCACTATCGCTCTCGTCTGCCATCTTGGAGTTTTTTACTGATTGGAAACCGAAACGAAACGACCGATTTCTAGAAAAATACCAAAAAAAGTCCGTTGGTAATTTTTGACTTGACGTAAATTCATTAAATATTGATTTTCATAGGATTTTCTATAAACATTTTACAAAGAGCAATTTTGTAAGTGAATTCCGGTGATTTGTCTACCCTCAATTTCGTTTCTGTAAATAATTCAGCGAGTGTTTTTAAACCTGGTTAACCAGACATCAATTTTTGTCGTCTGCTGAAATTAGCCTTGTCTTCCAACACCACTGCTGAAAGGCAATCTAGCACAGTTCTCCATTCAGTCTTTCTTGTAATATCTACAACTACTATTTAATAATATTTATAATAACTGAACGGAAATGTAAGTGGTGTGTGATAGGCCTAGTGTGAGTGTGGTTGGTTGTGTGTTTCCATTAAAGTTAAAGTAGACAGTGTCTATTACTATTAGCAGTGTTTATAGCCTGCATTTTAGGGCCTATATTCTAGGCCCTATAGCCTATCACACCATGTCGCATATGACCATAATCATAGGTTAAAATTTTCTAAACCATTTTGGTCCTGTGTCCGAAACAGCATTCTTGGCCTTAACATTAAAATGTTATAATTTAACAATTGGCATTAATTAAAGTTTAAAGGCTCACCACCCTTGTAACTGAATATGTCCCAATCTTTATTCTGGTCAACAAATTGTACTATTTACAATATTCCAATTAGCCTATAATTGATGATACAAATTTCATCTTTACACACCCAATTTAAAAAATTGGAAAAATTCAACTAAATGATTTGAAAAGCCTGACATAAAGCTTTTCAAATGTGACTTGGATTTAAAACTATTTTTGAACTCTTTGGACAAGTAAAATAGGATTTAATAGATAATTTACACAACAGGTAGGACACTAACACATCTAGTACTTAGAATAAGACTATTTGTTATTTTCTGGAGCTGTCAAGTCAGCAAGAGTGTTATTGTCCCTTTAAAGGAGCTAAATCGCTAATATTTTTGACCTAGAAATTGGCACCAATGGGTCACAATTAACACATATAATATTTAATAGTGTAATATAAATTTAGATAAACTGTTTTAAATTCAATCGTGTCCGTTTTACTGTGAATTGTCATCAGTTATGTTCGGCGAAATAGGCCAGAAGTCTCAACCGTAAGTCAGTTTCTAGCGTCTGGTTATTCCAGTCAACACCGATATTATTTATTGCGCATGCTCTTCAAATAACAACATGATATCACCGTTTGACATGACTTGTGAAATATACTGAGCGCCATGGAAAACGCATCACTTTTTTTTCCCAAATATTTTATTACTAGGTGGTTGGGTATGTATAATATTATGCAATACTATGAACTATTGTTTCACACAATGCTCCCAAACGCAAAAAATATCGGCCCGTGTGCCAAAAAAAAAATTGCACTAAGATGCACATGAAAAACCCAATATTCACGTGCAGCATTGTGTGTGAGCCCTTTAAAAGCATGTTTTCAACTTAATGTGCAGTACATGAACTGTGAAACGTCAATCTGTCGTAATTTGTTGTTGAACGTGTGAAGGAATCGAGCTAGATATGCCAAGACTTACTGAAAATCAACGGAATGAAGCCATGGGAATGTCCAGGGCTGGCATGTCTATACGTGCTATTGCCAGACACTTCAATTGTCATCAGTCCACTATTGTAACTTGTAAGGTTGGTGGAACGTGTTCGAGTTACTGGATCAACACGTGACCGTCAACGTCCTGGTCCACAACGCGTTACAACCCATGCTCAAGACTGCTACATCCGGGTCACTCATCTGCGTGACAGATTCCGCCCAGCGACTCGAACAGGTGCAGCAGTCGTCGGAAGACAAGGACCAGTAAGTGCCAACACCGTAAGACGTCGTCTGAGAGAAGTAGGACCCCGTGCACGATGACCTTATGTCGGAGCTATCCTCAGGGATCTTCACCGTCAGCGGCGTTTGATATGGGCTCAAGGACACCAGACATGGAGAAGAGTAGACTGGCAAAGTATGCTCTTCAGTGATGAGAGTCGCTTTCATCTTTATCACGCTGATGGCCGTCAACATGTGTGGAGACGTCTTGCAGACTGCTGCGTCTTCGAAACGAATCGATGGGTGGGGGAAGTGTAATGGTGTGGGGAGGCTTCACATTTCATCACCGGACTGCCCTACACATTTGCAGGGGTCGCGTTAATGCTGTAGCCTACCGTGATGATGTCTTGCAACCAATTGTTGTTCCGATGTTTCGAGCGCACCCACAACTTCAGCACTTCCAACAGGATAATGCACGTCCGCATACAGCCCGTTTTAGCATGGACTACCTGGCTGCTAACAACATCAATGTCTTGGACTGGCCAGCCATGTCTCCGGACATGGCACTGATAGAACATGTCTGGGATGAGATTGGACGCCGTCTGTATCGGAGACCACAGATGCACACCATTGCTGCTTTAGAAGCTGCTCTTGTCCAAGAATGGAACAATTTTCCCCAGGCCTTCTTTCAAACATTGGTAAATTCCATGCAACGTCGCTGCACAGCGTGTATAAGAGCCTGTGGAGGACACACGCGCTACTGACATCTGTGTCATACTTTTGGTTTTGACCCCTCTGACTTTGTACCGTTGATTACAGATTAAACATCCATAAGTGTACAAATGTGTTGTTATTGATGTGTTCCCATTTGAATATTGTTCACAATAAGAAACAAAATAAATAAGATATGTTTACAGAATAATTTTGTTATACGAAAAACTAAGTGATGCGTTTTCCATGGCGCTCAGTATATGTCTAGCCTCATTCTTTGAGCACCTTGTTACAAATGGCGCTGAAACGCATATTATGGTACACGATTCGTGTACCAATGGTAAAATGTTTATTTTGTCTTAAATATTGGATATCAGAAGCCCATCTTTTCCAGGTAAGATCACAACACCAATGCTGATTTAAATTGCAAAAAAGATTATGTTTTCAATGTCGAAGATTTTGGATGATATTGAGTTACGGACTTTAATCGTTATGATGTTATGGGTGGGTGGCCTACTTTAAATACTAAATATGTTGATATAGTGATAGATCTAGGCCTAGTAGTATTAGAACTGATATAGACTTAGATAAGAAATCTCATCTCTCAACCCTCCGTAACACATCAGTATATCTCAACGTTTTTATACGCCCACATTTTCATGTGGACGTATTATGCCTCCGTCCGTCCGTCCGTCCACCCTCTACAGGTCACAATTCTTATCCGATTTTGACGAAACTTGAAATGTAGGTTTATCTCCAAAAGATCTCGGCTTCTTTCGATATTGGCATATATCGGATCGAAACTTCATGGATTATGGCCCCTGTTTGTACGAAAAATCATGTTTTTAGCTTGTGGACACTATAGAGGTCACAATTTTTATCCGATTTTGTTGAAACTTGAAATGTAAGTTGATAACCCAAAGATCTCGGTTCCTTTCGATATTCGCGCATATCGGACCGTAACTTCCTGAATTATGGCCCCTGATTGAACGAAAAATCACGTTTTTAGCTTGTGGACCCTATAGAGGTCATAATTTTTATCCGATTTAAAAAACCGTATTATTATATCACCGTTACACCCAGAGGTCACAATTTTTATCAGATTTTGTTGAAACTTGAAATGTAAGTTTACAATCCAAAGATCTCGGATCGAAACTTCATGGATTATGGCCCCTGTTTGTACGAAAAATCATGTTTTTAGCTTGTTTTTGCTTGTGAACCCTATAGAGGTCATAATTTTTATCCGATTTAAAAAAACATATTATTATATCACCGTTACACCCTAAGGACGAATGAGTTCGAATTTCATGAAAATCGGCCCAAAATTGACAGACAAAATGGCCGCCGTTCGTTCTCAAATAGCGTAAAAATATGGTATATCAAGGTTGTGGACCCTATAGAGGTCACAATTTTATCCGATTTTGTTGAAACTTGAAATGTAAGTTTATAACCCAAGGATCTCGGTTCCTTTTGATATTCGCCCATATCGGACCGTAACTTCCTGAATTATGGCCACTGATTGTACGAAAAATTGTGTTTTTAGCTTGTGGACCCATTAGAGGTCATAATTTTTATCCGATTTAAAAAACTGTATTATTATATTACCGTTCCACCCTTACTTAGGACAGTTGAGTTCGAATTTTGTGAAAATCGCCCCAAAATTGACAGACAAAATGGCCGCCGTTCGTAAAAATATGGTATATCAAGGTTGTGGACCCTATAGAGGTCACAATTTTTATCCGATTTTGTTGAAACTTGAAATGTAAGTTTATAATCCAAAGATCTCGGTTCCTTTCGATATTCGTGCATATCGGACCTTAACTGCCAGAATTATGGCCCCTGATTGTACGAAAAATCGCTTTCTTTTTAGCTTGTTCTCTATCCATCTCTCGAAAATGTGGGCATATCCTGCCTGGCAGCCGCTGGTTATTTACGTTTTCGTAGCTATGATAGTCTATAATCAGGATTCCCTACTGAATGAAGAAAGAATGGCAACCGATTGAGTCATTCAGAATGACGAATGACAAGAAATTTGTAAACAATAACTTCTCCCCTTATGACAACACAATTAAATCATTTCATGGAATGGGTTTAATGAATATCAACTGCAGTTATCTGTGGGAATCAAAGGATCTGCGCTGGATTGGTTGAAGTCTTATCTAACTCAGTAACTAACAGAAGCAAAGTGTCCATATTCATAGCAGCAACTTTGTATCCAAACCGCTGTCTATTGGAGCCCCACAGAGATCAACACTAGGTCCACTTCTTTTCTTACTGTATGTACTTCGGGACTTCACTTGGTAAAATTATTCATAAACATCAGCTTCATGGTTTTGCTGATGATACGCACAAATATCGAAACTCAACCATTATTAGGTTGTAACGGTGATATATTCAAATGTTTTTGTTAATCGGATAAAAATTGTTACCTCTAGAGGGACCACTAGTTAAAAACACGATATCTCGTACAATAAAGGGCCATAATTCAGGAAGTTATGATCCGATATCCGCAAATATAGAAAGGAACCAAGATCTTTGGGTTATAAACATGTATTTCAAGTTTCATCAAATTTGGATCAAAATTGTGACCTCTGGAGGGTCCACATAACTATTTACGTATAAGGGGCGGCCATTTTGTTTGGTAGTTTTAGACCGATTTTTACGAAATTCGAACTCAACCATCATTACTGTGTAACGGGGATGGTGACATATTCAAACGTTTTTTTTAAATCGGATAATAATTTTGACCTCTGGAGGGACCACAAGCTAAAAACGCGATTTTTCGTACAATCAGGGGCCTTAATTCAGGATTTTACGATTTGATATGTGCGAATATCAAAAGAAACCAAGATCTTTGGGTTATAAACATGCATTTCAAGTTTCATCTAAATTGGATCAAAATTGTGACCTCTGGAGGGTCCACATAACTATTTACGTATAAGGGGCGGCCATTTTGTTTGGTAGTCTTAGTCCGATTTTCACGAAATTCGAACTCAACCATCATTACTGTGTAACGGTGATGGTGATATATTCAAACTTTTTTTTTAAATCAGATAATAATTTTGACCTCTGGAGGGACCACAAGCTAAAAACGCGATTTTTCGTACAATCAGGGGCCATAATTCAGGATTTTACGATTTGATATGCGCGAATATCAAAAGAAACCAAGATCTTTGGGTTATAAACATGCATTTCAAGTTTCATCTAAATCAGGTGAAAATTGTGATCTCTAGAGTGTTCACAATCTAAAAATGTGATTTTTCGCACAATCAGAGGCCATAATCGATGAAGTTTTGATCCGATGGCAATATCAAAAGGAAGCGAGATCTTAGGGAGATAAATCTATATTTCAAGTTTCGTCAAAATCGGATAAGAATTGTGACCTGTAGAGTATCTACAAACAAATTGTGGACGGACAGAGGGCAATGACAATATATGTCCACATGAAAATATGGGCGTATAAAAAAAGTGACAGCAAGGAATGACAAAGAGAATGACAGAGGCTCACTTGATGAATGACGCAGAATGACTGAGGCTTACTGGATGGATAACAGGGGCTGACTGGATGAGTGACACATAGATGTCAGAGAATGGCAGAGGCTTACTGGATGAATGACAAAGATAATGACAGAGCCCAATGGAAGAATGACTAAAGGAATGACGGATACACCTCCAGTGACCAGACGAATGATAAAGAGAATGAATCAGATTCACCAGATGAATGACAAAGAGAATGACACATGTTCACCAGAGGAATGACAATTTAAATGACACATTTTCACAAGACAAATGACACATAGAATGACACATGTTCACCCAAAGAGGAATGACAAGTAGAATGACACATATTCACTAGTTGAATGGCAGGGGTTCATCAGACGAATGACAAAAAGAGTGACAAAGGTTCACTAGACAAATGACAAAAGGAATGACAGAGGTTCATCAGTCGATCTAGAGAGAAATTGAGTTTAACATATTTTATTTCAATAATTTGCTTGTGCGTAGGGGTCTTTAGCTGTGGAAGGAAACCAGAGGACCCAGAGAAAACCCACGACGTTGGACAGGCAACATTACTCCTTGTCACTTATAAGCGGGGAATTAAAACTACGCCACTTGACTCAATGACACATGTTAACCATTCAGCCACCCAATCCGACTGACAAAGAGAATGACAGAAGTTCGCCATGCGAATGACAAAGAGAATGACAGGTTCACCGGACGATTGACAAAGGGTTCACCAGATGGATGACAAAGATAATGACACAGGTTCACCAGACGAATGACACAGAGAATGAAAAGTTACCCAAATGAATGAAAAAGACAATGCCAGGTTCACCAAACAAATGACAAAGCGAATGACAAGGGTTCACCAGATGGATGACAACTAGAATGCCACATGTTCACTGGTCGATTGATGAAGGTTCACCAGATGAAAGAGAAAGAGAATGACAGAGGTTAACCAGGTGAATGCCAAAGAGAATGACACAGGTTCACCAGACGAATGACACAGATAATGACACAGGTTCACCAGACGAATGACAAAGATAATGACACAGGTTCACCAGACGAATGACAAAGAGAATGACACAGGTTCACCTGGCAAATGACACAGGTTCACCTGGAGAATGACAAAGAGACTGACAAAGAAGAGAATATCAGAGAGAATGACATAGGTTCACCAGTGTTCTTAATCAAAGAGAATGACATAGGTTCACCGGACTGGATTGACAAAGAGAGTGACACAGGTTCACCAGATGAATGAAAAGAGAATGACTGAGGTTACCCAGATGATGGACAAAGAGAATGACACAGGTTTACCAGACAAATGACAAGTAGAATGACATGTGTTAACTGGTCAAATGACAGATTCATCAGACCTTCTCTGCTTTGCAAGCCTTTGCCTACTTCTTTCTTTTATTAGTAACACACATGTATAAAAGCTAGTTATTGAATATTGCCTATTTCAGATCCCCTGATAACAATACATTATGACATCATGGAAAGGTCATTTTGAGGATTTCAATTCAGGAAATGGGTACCAATCAAAGAGTGCAAATAATCAACGACAATCTTTCAATGGAAATAATGACACTACTACCAGTAGTTCCAAAGTTACAGAAGTTTTAAAGATTTATGATATTTCATCCAGTCATTCCTATGTTGTAAGTACTTCCCAGTGATAATTTTAAAGGACTTTAGTTGTTTAAATAATTCCCTGAAGATTTCAACTAAGTACTGTAAACATAGCATTCCCAGGTAATGAGTATATGCCCAACAGCAGCATTTTGAAGGTGTATGCCCAATAGCAGCATTTTGAAGGGTGACTTTCAAGTTATCAAGGGCAACAACTATATGAATAATGGTTAAGTCTGAATTTTGACATTTGGTTGCTCCTTATGATGATATGAATCACAGAAAGTTTGAAAAAAAAATCTCCAAATCATGACCCGAAATTTTGTTAGGGGTTCCTCTTTAGGACCAGCCAAACAATTCCAGCAAGTAGAATATTTACAAGGGTTTCGTTGACAGGAGCACCATTAACTTTAAATATTGACCCACCCTTGTTGATGAGCCAATCTACTTGTTTCTTATTGAGACATTGTTTTATTCCTCAATGAGACCTTCTTATTTTTATTGAAAAATCAGAAGAGTTCTACAAATTGTAAACTTATAGTATTCAAAATCTTGTCTACAATCTCAAGTGAAATTTTGAGTTTTATATGGGAATTTTACTTTCATGAAAAGAGATGACAATAAAGAACTATTTTATATGCTCATTTTCTCTTTATTGGATTTCCACATATAATCTTATACGATATCATTTTCAATAGAAGGCTTGATATCGCTTTAACTACATACATCTTATCCCGATGTTGTAAAACTTGCAGTCGTTGCTACAGGAACATGATATCATACAAGTTGAAATTACGTTATTATTCTCTTCCACTCCAGACTATTATTGGTTTAGTTATTAGCAAAGATGGTCCTAAGTCAATCATAAGCAAGAAGGGTAAGTTTTCTACAGTTCTCATGTTGATTCATATTCCCCACCTTCTATTGGGGATTTGTGCATTAAATAAAATTTCAAGTTAATTGTTACAATCTAATCAAAGTTTATATTTTTATTGATCAGACATTTCTTTGACATTTTAAGACAAAAATACTCATTATTGTTACTCTCACATTTAATGTTGACTTCAGTATGTATATTATTTTCATCTGAATCTGTCCAAAATCATACAGTTGTCTTTTTCAAATGGTTCATTCTTATGTTTTAGACAGTCATCATTGCAATTATCATATTTTCTGCCTTTTCAGAAAATCATTTATAAAACTATTTTTATAGGGAGCATCAGTAATAGGATGAAGTTAATTCAAGTTTTATGGTTAGATTTTAGTTAAAGATTTCATTATCTTTTCATTCTTTTACTGATTTAGGTACAGAGAGATACTTGTTGGCATTAACAGTAAGAGATGCTGAAGAAAGTTTTATAAATGTTACGTCATGGGGTAATGAAAGTTATATTCTATCTGCAGCACAATTAATACAAATTGGTGATGTGGGTAAGTATGCTATTAAGCTGGACTTCCATTAAAGTTAAACTAAATTAAAATGGAAAATTTAAGAAATATGTTTTGGTCACCTCTACTGTTTTTCTTTATAATTCAAATGGCAACCATTGAGTCATATAAAAGCCTTCTGTGACCAGCCTACTTCAAGTTTAACTTAAAATCCTTCAATAGGAACACATCGAAAGCAATAGCATTTATACATGTTACCACTACTCTAACGTGGAAGCTTGTTTTTTCTTCCCAGTGTAAGGTTTGAACCTTGCAGGGGCGTATCTCTCCCAGTTGGTAGCAACTACTTCAGATCAAATGCTACTGCAATAGTCCATGGTTATACTCACATGATTCCATTGGCCAAGATACGCTAAGATTGTGTAAGACTGGCTATGATAGGATTTGAAGGGGCGTATCTCCCCCAGTTGGTAGCAACTACTTCAGTTCAAATGCTACTGCAATAGTCCATGATTGTACTCACTCACATGCTTCCATTGGCCAAGATACGCTAAGATTGTGTAAGACTGGCTATGATAGGATTTGAAATTTTTTTAACATATTCAAAACTCAATGATACTAATAGGCTACGATTATATATGATAACATAAAATATCATATCTTAGTAAAATAGCTGTATCGGAGACATCGTCACACGCCACAAATTAACATAAAATATTAAAATGAGAACAAATGACCTTTCCCGAGTTCTATGGAGCTGACTTGGGTATTTTAAAAGATAATGTTGCAGTTGAGAAAATTATAATGTACCCGTATTTAAATTTATCTGTATTTCAGTTCGGGTTAGTAATGCCCAAGTTCAGAGTAAACCAAATAATGGAATGGATGATAAATATAAACCCACAACACCAAGGTAAGGACCATTTACAATTTAACTACAGTTTGACAACGAAGAGAGTCTGGATTAGGTATTCTTTTATTACAGACTCATCAATATACCCAATCTAATGAGTCCATTTAGTAACTCCTGTTTAATAAATTTAAATACAGTATGTTGGATCGATATATTGAACTGGCACCTTGAGAAATGTTTTGACTAATATCTAATTTGAAGTAAGACTTCGAAATTACAAGTCACGATTAATATTTGTGATCAAGATCTGATTAGTCATAAGAAATTTTTTTGTTGATGCAAAATGGGGGCCATTGCCTGTTACCAAACTTTTGAGTTTCAATATTTTGGAAAATATGGCCATTATATTTTAATTGAAAACAAAAATCAGTATTTAAAGGAAATGAGTTAACATTTCATGTATGTATCAATTTTGATTTTTGTCCCCCGCCTTTCGAAGAAAACAGGGGACTATTAAAATGAGTTCGTCTGTCTATCTGTCTGTCCGTCTGTCTGTCTGTCTCACACTTTTTGAGACAGACTTTACCAGTTACTTCAAAACTTGAGTTTGATAGTGAACATTTTATGCTTAGACTAAGCATAGATAATCAGTTTGATTACTCGATAACTTTATACTTTTGAAAAAGATAAATGTGCAATTAATTAATGTGTCATCTGTTTATTTTGGGATTTCGGTGGGGGACATCAGCCTCACTGTTGGATTGTTTTCTTAGTCCCTATCAACTGAATATTTCGGAAAATCATGGCTATATAGAGTTATATTCGGGCTGGGATTCTGAAAATTTTCGAGGTCTTCAACATTTGCCAACAAAACCTAAAAATGACTACTACACATTAGAAGATATAAATGTTAATGGAATGTCTTTACAAGGAGAACACATAAATATATTAGCAGCTGTCAAAAAAGTGAGTTACTCTTATGGTACAAAATGTATATAAAATAGAATTTGTTTAAAAATTAAGTCTTCATTAACAGTTTTACATTTACATAATGCTCATAAGCTTATACATTTTTGCTTAGGAAAGAATAACCCAATTCTACTTTATTTTATTACAGCTTGGTAAAGTCAGAGATATTACCACGAAGACTGGAAAAATGACAAAGAAATGTGAAGTTTTACTTTTTGACGAAACATGCTCAAACTTTACCTTAGATCTGTAAGCTTGAAACAAAATTTTACTGTCCCCCAACTTTTGAAGAAAGCAGGGGACTATTTAAATGGTGTGTCCATCCGTCCATGTGTCTGTCTGTCTGTTGGTCACAGTTTTTGGGACACAATAACTCTCCTAATTGACCTAGAATGTTTATTAGATGAATGTCTTCATGGAGTTCGAAGATGAGCATACTCTGATTAGGTTAAGTGGAGATAAGCAATTGGATTGACTGATGCTATAGGACATGATAACTTTAATTCTAATTAAGTGAGAAAGATGAAACTTAGATCAGTGCCTGGACTAAGTTCGATAATGGGCACTTTCTGCTCATTGTAAGCAGATTCGAGTGATAAGAAATTTGATTGGTCAAGACTTTGGAGCTCAATAACTTTGATTCTAAATGAGTGAGAGAGCTGAAACGAAACTTGTGTATAGTTTCATTACATCAATATCTTGACTAAGTTCGATAATGAGCAGTTTCTGCTTAGGCTAAGTAGAGACTTCAATCAGATAAGTCGAGACTTTGGAACACAATTACTCTCCTTCTATAAATTGAGGTACAATGTTTAAACTTGGTTAAGGTGTTTATTAGGTGATTGTCTTGACAGAGGTTGATGAGCATTTTCAACTAATGGTAAACAGAGATAAGCAATTTGATTGGTCGAGACTTTGGAACTCAATAACAATATTGAATCTAAATGAGTGAGAGGGGTGAAACTTGTATAGTGTCATCACATCAATACCATGACTAAGTTTGATGATAAGAATTTTCTGATTAGGCTAAGTAGTGATAAGTGATTCGATTGGTAAAGACTTTGGAATATAACAAGTCTGGTGTAGATGTTCATTAGGTAAATGTCTTAACTGATTTAAATCATTAACATTTTCCGTTAAGGCTAAGCAGAGCTAAGCAATACCATTGGTCATCAGCCTCATTGTTAGCTTGTTTACTCTAGCTTTAACTACATGTAACAATTATGCATGCATGCATGTGTGGATCAAGGAAGTTATTTTTATAGGCCCATGCACTGTCCCACATTGAAATGTGGTAGTATATTGTCGTTGCGCCCGACATCCACAATTGCCTGTGTACGCTCGAGGGGCTTAAAGTGAATATCCGATTGACTTTAAATTTATATACAGTGTTTAAGGTCAAGGTCATAAGAAGAAGAATTCTATTGATTTTCAACGATTTCTGATAATTACTGCCAGAGTTATGGCCCTTGACCTCTTTAAGAAACTTGTGGACGCTCTGGAGGCTAAAGTTAATATCTGACTCTTAATTTATACAAAGTGTTTATGATCATGAGATGAAGAAGCCTATTGATTTTCAACAATTTACGATAATAACTGTCAGAGTTATGGCCCTTGATCTCTTTGAAAAATCTTGTGGACGCTCTAGAGTTAAAGAGTTAATATCCAACTGACTTTAAATTTATACACAGTGTTTATGATCATAAGATGAAGAAGCCTATTGATTTTTCATGATTTACGATAATTACTGTCAGAGTTATGGCCCTTGACCTCTTTGTAAAATGATTACTGCCAGACCAAAGTTATCTTCTGATTGACTTTAAATTTATACTCAGTGTTTAATGTCATAAAGCAAAAAAGCCGATGTCCCATAATTACTGCCAGAGTTATAGCCCTTGACCTCTTTGAATATTCTTGTTCATGTTCTACAGACCAAAGTTATCATCCCATTGACTTTAAATTTATACATTTATAGTGTTTAAAACCCTTGTTGACTGCTCGGGCGACTTAGTTTCTGTGGGTGTAATTTCGTTACCTGGCAACCTATCTTTGCTTTATTTGTGACCACATTCGCCAAGCCATTATTCTTTGAAATTTGTAAATTTAAATGGGCACTTGAATTGATCTATCCCAAATAATCCTTGTGAATTTGCAATAAAAATATTCCTCTTCTCTTGTCAATAGTGGATTCCATTATTTAATTGTAAGTTTAAATAAGAAAATATGATGACAAAAGCTGATATCTGATGAAATGACACTGGAATGTTTCTTATTGTGAAAAGAAAATTGGTACCGGTAGTTGAGATGATCTTTTACAAAATTATATTTTTAGATGGAATATAAATGTTGAGCAAGTACAGACTTGGATAGCTCATCAAACTGGTATCAATAAGTATTAATAATAGTAATAGGAATTTGTTTAAAGATTGAATGTTTGTATTTAATTCTTTGATAGAAAGTTATTAATTTTGTTATTAAGTTATTAATAGGTTATTAATTATATTGTTTCAATAGAAAGTTATTAATTCTGCTATTTCAATAGAAAGTTATAAATTCTGTTATTTTGATAGAAAGTTATTAATTCTGTTACTTCAATAGAAAGTTATAAATCTTATAAACAAAAATTATAGGCACCTACCAATTCTGTTATTTAAATATGAAGTTTTTAATAATGCACATGATTAAATTTATTTCAGTTATTTTTGCTGCAGATGTAAAAATTATTCACAGTGATTTTAAGTCATCAATGATAGCTGTGGCTGATAGTAAAACAATATTTACAGTAGATCCAGGTTTGTGTAACATGTATGTTTAAAACAAAACGGATAAAAAAAAATAATTACATCAAATAATTAACCACAAAAGTATTTATCAGGTAGTTATTTCCAATAAAAGTACATGTATGTCAATTTTGGTGTACCGGTATATGGAAAGTAGAGACACCTAATCTTACAAGACAAGTAATGGATTCCCTGAAAAACACTCATGGGAATGTGCACAATACAAAAATGTAAGGGTGCCCTTGACTGACAATATGTCAGCTACAGTGACTTAAGGAGAATTTGTGTTGATCTAATGGCTAACGGTTGTGATAACATTTAGGGAATTAAATGTCCAGTAGACTCTGCAACTAAACAGTGGAAAGAGAAGTTGACAAAGTATAATCCAAGAATTTTATTACTCTTCAATATTTATGGTAAAAAGATAGCAACTAACACAAACCAGAAAAGAATTCTCCCCCAGTCAAGTCAAATGACAAACAAGATTGTTTAAAATAGATGGGGGTACTTTCCTTCAGATTAAAATGTTTAGAGAGGCATTTGCAGCAAACTTTTGATGGATAAATTAGTTTGAATATGTTTTTAGTCCAAATATATAATCAAATAACACAGTGTGTACACGGGAAGGCATCTTTAAAAATTATTGGATTATTGGATTTAGAAGATAGTTATGTTTTTTGGAAATAGAGAATGATACAAGAATATTCAACCTGACCAAAGGTTATGCACCCAATGTTCTCTTTCTACCGTTCCACTGTCCCAGATATGAAAACCTGTGCTTGAAATATATCTACCATACTTGAATACAATCTTGTCAATTAACTTTTGAACTTCTTTTTAAACCGCCAGATTTTCTGTCTAAAGCAGTAGCAATGTACACATATCATGCTTTTAAGAAAAGGGGAGCACCTGCTTAGTCTATTTTTCTGCTGCATGTTCTTTCTCTATATTTGATCATTATACATGTATGTACAAGGTTATACTTCATATTTTCATTTCATTGTTATACTTTCATTGCTATATCACAATATATTTTTGTATACATGTATATTGATGTATGTGTATGTTTTGTATACTATTCTTAATGATGTAATAATATGCAAATAAAAACGTTGAGGTTGTACTGCTGTTGTTTCAGAGACAACAGAGGCTTACAGTTTACATAGTTATGCAATGTCAGATACCAGTTGGACAAATGATATAAGTAATGAAGGAGAAATTGCAAACTTTGTGAAAGAAATAGATCCAGATTGTGAGGACTTTACTTTTATATTAAACAAAAAACATTGTATCCTAAAACTCCATTATTTAGTAAATAACATGAAATTTAATATAAAATGAATAGAATCATTCCAAATTCATCCTGGAAGGATATTTTATACATTCCCTCTGAAATTATGTCGTCACCCATGTCTGTCGGTCCATGAATCATTGAATTGTAAAGTTTCTAAGTTTTGGGTTGTTTTTTTATTCAAATTTAGTTTGAAGCATCAGTCATGAGAGGATTTTCGCGAACTTTCATTCCACCCCATAGCATCCCCTTTACTGTACCCTTTAAGTTTTTTTAAACAGATTTTGGTTAGAAGCATCAGTAATGAAAGGATTTTCGTGACCTTTCGTTCCACCCCTTTTCTGTTCACCTTTAGTTTTTAATGGATTTTTCGAATTTGGTGTGAAGCAATGAGATCATGAGAGAACCTATTCTATCGATTTTCAGTGTTCCACGACCATTTCTGGGTTACCCCCTTTGAGATTTGACTGGTAACCATACGCTCATTCGAGTTATAATAATATGAGTTTACATGGTACTCTTCTGCAACACAAATGTACCTAAATTGCATTACAATGTTTAAGTACACAAGTTTCAAGTTATATCCAGGAAAAAATCTGACAGGTGACAACAGTCTTATATATTATAGTAAATGTTATTAAATCCTTGGATGCATATTTGGTTGAACAATTGCATTGAAATTATTCTTATGGCTTAGATCCATTACATAATTTCATGTGTCTGGAAAAAGCTCTTTACTGAATCATCTTCTTAGTTGCAAAATTACTTGAATTATCATACACCAAACTGATGCCAAATATTAATAATACAACTTTCAGTGGAAAGCATAAAGGAAATCTACAACATTGAACAGATGAAGACCAAATGCAACAACACTGATTTTCAGGCAGATTATGGTGTTGCTTTTGTTTTCTTGTCAAAATTTGATATTGATAGTGAAGACCATTTAATTACTAGACAAGTATGGTATGTGAAATTTCTCTGTGTTTTATTTTTACCATAATAAGTTCACCAGGGTAATAGCAATGAAAATGTTAACAAATGCAGGTTGAAACAGTTATTATGACACTACAGAAGATAATGTGCTCACAAAAAAAAACCAGGGAATGCCTACATGGTATGGTATTAATGGTGATAAATTTGCAATCTACCATGTCTATTAACTGCAAAAGTATTTATGTTAAAATGCATTATTCTAGTTCTACTTTTTATACGCCCACATTTTCATGTGGACGTATATTGTCGTCGCCCCTGTCCATCCGTCCGTCCACAATTGTTTGTGAACAGTCTACAGGTCACAATTTTTATCCGATTTCAACGAAACTTGAAATATAGGTTTATCACCCTAAGATCTCGGTTCCTTTCGATATTGGCATGTATCAGACTGTAACTTCATGGATTATGGCCCCTGATTGTACGAAAAATCACTTTTTTAGCAATTGTGAACACTGTAGAGGTCACAATTTTTATCCGATTTGGTTTAAACTTGAAATGTATCCTTATAACCGAAAGATCTCGGTTCCATTCGATAATCGTGCATATCGGACCGTAACTTTCTGAATTATGGTCATAATTTTTATCTGATTTAAAAAAACTTATTATTATATCACCGTTAAACCCTAAGGGCGGCTGAGTTCGAATTTCGTGAAAATCGGCCCAAAACTGAAAGACAAAATGGCCGCCGTTTGTTCTCAAATAGCGTAAAAATATGGTATATCAAGGTTGTGGACCCGATAGAGGTCACAATTTTTATCCAATTTTGTTGAAACTTGAAATGTAAGTTTATAACACAAAGATCTCGGTTCCTTTCGATATTCGCGCATAGCGAACCGTAACTTCCTGAATTATGGCCCCTGATTGAATGATAATTGTGTTTTTAGCTTGTGGACCCTATAGAGGTCATAATTTTTATCTGATTTAAAAAAACGTATTATTATATCACCGTAAAACCCTAAGGACGGCTGAGTTCGAATTTCGTGAAAATCGGCCCAAAACTGACAGACAAAATGGCCCCCGTTCGTTCTCAAATAGCGTAAAAATATGGTATATCAAGGTTGTGGACCTGATAAAGGTCACAATTTTTATCCGATTTTGTTGAAACTTGAAATGTAAGTTTATAACACAAAGATCTCGGTTCCTTTCGATATTCGTGCATAGCGGACCGTAACTTCCTGAATTATGGCCCCTGATTGTACGAAAAATCGCGTTTTTAGCTTGTGGACCCTATAGAGGTCATTATTTTTATCTGATTTAAAAAAACATATTATTATATCACCGTTAATACCTAAGGACGGCTGAGTTCGAATTTCGTGAAAATCGGCCCAAAACTGACAGACAAAATGGCCACCGTTTGTTCTCAAATTGCGTAAAAATATGGTATATCAAGGTTGTGGACCCGATGGAGGTCACAATTTTTATCCGATTTTGTTGAAACTTGAAATGTAAGTTTATAACCCAAAGATTTCAGTTCCTTTCGATATTCGCGCATATCGGACCGTAACTTCCTGAATTATGGCCCCTGATTGTACGAAAAATCGCGTTTTTAGCTTGTAGAGGTCATAATGTTTATTCGATTTTAAAAAACGTATTATTATATCACCGTTACACCCTAAGGACGGCTGAGTTCGTATTTCGTGAAAATCGGCCCAAAACTGACAGACAAAATGACCGCCCCTCGTTCTCAAATAGCGTAAAAATAGGGTATATCAAGGTTGTGGACCCTATAGAGGTCACAATTTTTATCCGATTTTGTTGAAACTTGAAATGTAAGTTTATAACCCAAAGATCTCGGTTCCTTTCGATATTTGCGCATATCGAATTGTAATTTCCTGAATTATGGCCCTTGATTGTAGGAAAAATCACTTTCTTTTTAGCTTGTTCTCTATCCATCTCTCGAAAATGTGGGCGTATCCTGCCTGGCAGCCGCTGGTACATTGTCTGGGTCCTTTCTCACCAAACTTGAGTTTGATTCCTACTGCTCTTTCCAAGTGAAAAGTCAAATGAAATGAAATATGTTTTATCTGCAGCAACAAATGTAGACGAACAGTGAAGGAAGAATCCAATTTTATTTGTTTAAATCCATCATGTTCAGGAGATGAAGATAATGCTATATTTAACGGCAACAAGAATGCTTTTGAATATAACATATCAGTATCAATATCTGATCATACTGGGACTTTAGACTTCTGTCAACTACAATCAACAGCTGCTGAAAATATTTTGGGGTTTAAGGTAAAACATTTATTTTTAAAATGTTGAATGCATGCAAATAAGTTATGATGCTTTCCATTATGTAGTAAGCTAATGCATTCTAAATTATCTATTTGTTATTCATATTTTGTTCTTTAATACTAATAGGCAGATAACATCAATGAAGTAAACCTGGACAAATTAACACAAATAAAATGGAATTATCTTTTAGAACGATGTAAACTGAAATTTAAGGTAATAGATTTTTTAAATTGTTTTTTGTGGATTTTGATGTTAAAATATTAATTTTGTTTATTACTGAAATATTAAATAAACAAGTAAGAACAATGATTCATTCCAATTTACTCATGTTCATTACCGATAATAGATTATTTTTTTTAATATCAAAAACTGATGTTTGTTGCAGATCAAAAAATTCAACTCGCGCATCACTGTAAGAATTTTATCTTTAATGGTAGCAGACCACAATGAAGTTCATTCCTATTTCTCATCTTTATAAAGGATAACTGTAAAATCTATTTTTTAAACACAAACTATCTGTGATATTTAAGTGAACTTCTGTTGCTAGAGCATTCAGAAGATTTTATGAACTAGAAGTTATCAGAAATTGTTTAATTCTATGGACTTCACTTCTTCATCTCACTGATAAAAGATAAAATGATAATTTGGTCTGTAGAGTGTTAACCAGAAATCAGGGATGACAAACAGAGGCGACCACAATATACAACCACATATCCATCAAAATCAAGTAACATTCCTGTTAATATTCCACTTGGTGATTTAACACTAGCACAAACAGAAGTATTTAACACTCAGAACCAACACAAAATGACTTCACTGATTGTGGAATATGAAAAGTTAGCCTGGAAAAAGCCACCTGTCCCGGACAATTCAGGTTTTGTCAGGAACCATTCCTCTGGTGCCTTTTTTTTTGTGTTGCACTGCCGATTTACCTTTTTGGATACAATTTCAGTATAACCTGACATTTTGTCTATTACAACTACAACTAAAATTATTTCTAGACCTGATAAAACCAGCGGCTGCCAGGCAGGATACGCCCACATTTTGCAAGAGATGGATAGAGAACAAGCTGAAAACAAACAGGATTTTTTGTACAATCAGGGTCAATAATCCAGAAAGTTATGGCCTGAAATGTGCAAATATCAAAAGGGACAGAGATCTTTGGGATATAAAGATATGTTTTAAGTTTCATCAAAATCGGATAAAAATCGCGACCTCTAAAGGGTCCACAACCGATGTATTACACACATCTACACAATTTGCGTACAAAGAGCGTCCATTTTGTCGGGCAGTTTCATTTCGATTTTCCTGAAATACGAATTCAACCTTCCTTATGGTGGAATGGTGATGTATTCTAGGTTTTTAAAATCGGAAAAAAATTGTGACCTCTAGAGAATCCGCAAGCTGAAAATGCGATTTTTGGAACAATCAGGGGGCATAATCCAGGAAGTTAAGTTAAGGAACTAAGATCTTAGTGTGTAATGGTGATATATTCACACGTTTTTTTTAAATCGGATAAAAATTGTGACCGCTACAGGGCCATAATTCAGGAAGTTACGATCCGATATGCGTGAATATCGACAGGAACAAATATCTTTGGGTTATAAAGAAGTATTTCAAGTTTAATCGAAATCGGATCAAAATTGTGATCTCTAGAGGGTCCACAACCTTGATTTACCAGATGTTTACACTATTTGCAAACAAGGGGCGGCCATTTTGTCCGGCAGTTTTGGCCTGATTTATACGAAATTCAAACTCAACAAACATTACGGTGCAACAATGATATATTCGAACGTTTTTTTAAATCGAATAATAATTGTGACCTCTAGAGGGACCACAAGCTAAAAACGCGAAATTGCGTACAATCACAGGCCATAATTCAGGAAGTTACAATCCGATTTGCGCGAATATTGAAAGGAACCGATATCTTTGGGTTATAAACTTGCATTTCAAGTTTCATCAAAATTGTGGCCTCTAGAGGGTCCACAACTTTGATTTACCAGATGTTTACACTATTTGCGTGCGAGGTCTCATTTTCATGAAATTTGAACTCAGCCATCCTTTTTTTAAATTGGATAAAAATTGTGACCTCTATGGCATCCACAAGCGAAAAAAGGCGATCTTTCGTACTATCAGGAACCATAATTCAGGAAGTTATGGTCTGATATGCGCGTATATCGAAAGGAACTGAGATCTGTGGGTTATAAACATGCATTTCAAGTTTCATCAAAATCAGATGAAAATTGTGACCTCCAGAGGGTCCACAACCCTGATACACAATATTGTGACACTATTTGCGAACGAGGGGCGGCCATTTTGTCTGTCAGTTTCGTTCTGTTTTATTCGAAAAATTCTAACTCAACCATCCGTAGTGTGTAACGGTGATATATTCAAACGGTTTTTTAAATGGGATAAAAATTGTGACCTCTATAATGGGGTCCACAAGCTAAAAACGTGATTTTTCGTACAATCAGGGGCCAGAATTCAGGAAATCAACGTCTGATATGCGCGAATATTGAAAGAAACCGAGATCTGTGGGTTGTAAAAATGCATTTCAAGTTTTATCAAAATCAGATGACAATTGTGACCTCGAGAGGGTCCCCAACCCTAACCCTTTTAATGCGTCTACCTGGTAGTACCGGGTATTACCAGTGGCTGCCAGGCAGGATACGCCCACATTTTCGAGAGATGGATAGAGAACAAGCTAAAAAGAAAGTGATTTTTCCTACAATCAAGGGCCATAATTCAGGAAATTACAATTCGATATGCGCAAATATCGAAAGGAACCGAGATCTTTGGGTTATAAACTTACATTTCAAGTTTCAACAAAATCGGATAAAAATTGTGACCTCTATAAGGTCCACAACCTTGATATACCATATTTTTACGCTATTTGAGAACAAACGGCGGCCATTTTGTCTGTCAATTTGGGGTTGATTTTCACGAAATTCGAATTCAGTCGTCCTTAGGGTGTAACAATGATATAATAATACAGTTTTTTTTAAATTGGATAAAAATTATGACCTCTTTAGGGTCCACCAGATTTTTCATACAATCAGGGGCGATAATTCAGGAAGTTACGGTCCGATATGCGCGAATATCGAAAGGAACTGAGATCTTTGGGTTATAAACTTACATTTCAAGTTTCAACAAAATCGGATAAAAATTGTGATGTCTATAGGGTCCACGACCTTGATATACCATATTTTTACATTATTTGAGAACGAACGGCGGCCATTTTGTCTGTCAATTTTTGGCAGATTTTCACAAAATTCGAACTCAGCCATCCTTAGGGTGTAACGGTGATATAATAATATTTAAATCGGATAAAATTTATGACCTCTATAGGGTCCACAAGCTAAAAACGCGATTTTTCGTACAATCAGGGGCCATAATTCAGGAAGTTATGGTCCGATATGTGCAAATATCGAAAGGAACCGAGATCTTTGGGTTATAAATTTACATTTAAATTTTCAACAAAATCAGATAAAAATTGTGACCTCTATAGGGTCCACAAGCTAAAAACGTGATTTTTCGTACAATCAGGGGCCATAATCCATGAAGTTTCGATCCGATACATGCTAATATCGAAAGCAGCCGAGATCTTTTGGTGATAAACCTATATTTCAAGTTTCCTCAAAATCGGATAAGAATTGTGACCTATAGAGAGTCCACAAACAATTGTGGACGGACAGGGGCGACGGCATAATACGTCCACATAAAAATGTGGGCGTATAATAAAATGTCGTTAAAATACGCGTACCCGGTATTACCGTATACTCAGTAAAGCCCTCGCTAAAATTAGTACCGTAACTGCAAGTGCCATCTATTGTTTTTTCTATACACTAAAACATTTCCACGTGTTTCAAAGCGGCAAACCGTAAAATGGCGGAGTGCATAGTGACAATGTAGACGATGCACTCTCGACAAAGTCGTGAATGACGTCTTGCTGACCAACACATGGACAATTTTGAGGCGGGTGATACACATAATTCGTTTCCAGTTACTTGATAATGATAGTAGTCAGGACAGTAATTGGTATTATGAAGTGTGTGATTTGTTGCGCAACGTTCCGCAGGGGCCATTATCCGTGAAGTTATGGTCCGATACATGCCAATATCGAAAGGAACCGAGATCTTAGGGAGATAAAGCTATATTTCAAGTTTCATTGAAATCGGATAAAAATTGTGACCTGTAGAGTGTCCACAAACAAATTGTGGACGGACGGACAAACAGGGGCGACAACAATATACGTCCACATGAAAATGTGGGCATATAAAAAGGTAACCATTCTTATAATTTAGATCCAACTATGATATAAAAAAACCAAAATTTGCTTCAAATCCCTTTCAAAACAATTATCAGCTTGTATTTGCCCTTAGTCACTATCCATTTACAAAAATATTGAAGCCTAAGTAAATTCCTTTTTCTGCCTTAATTCTCTCAGTATTCTCACAACCAATAGCCATTAGATCAACACATAAGAAGTGCTCCTTACATCACTCGAGCTAACAGGCTGCCTTTTAAGGATACCCTCACGTTTTTGTCTTGCACGCACCCCATGGATGTTTTTGTGGATGGATGTCCTATTTTCCTCGTTTAGTAATTGAACTGGATTAAACAGTTTAGGTCACAATTCTATGGAATATAATTACTGCTTATTACTGAGCGACTTTTTCGACTAGGCTTCTCTAGTCATTAGCAAGAGAAGTCATTATCAAGAGAAGTCATTGTGACCATTTTATTATTTATCAGTTTGTATGAAGGGAAATTCACAACATAATTCCAACATCATCTGGGAATGCACGCTAATATTCTAATAAGCTTACTGGTAGTAAATTGGCTATGTAGCCTACATATGTAACCAGCGTCTGCCAGGCAGGATATGCCCACATTTTGCAAGAGATGGTTTTTGTACAATCAGGGGCCATAATCCAGAAAGTTATTGTCTGAAATGCGCAAATATCAAAAGGGACTGAGATTTTTGGAATCTAAAGATATGTTTTAAGTTTCATCAAAATTGGATAAAAATTGTGACCTCTAGAGGGTCCATAACCTTTGAATTACATACTTATATACAATTTGCATACAAAGAGCGGCCATTTTGTCGGCAGTTTCATTACGATTTTCCCAAAATTCCAATTCAACCATCATTATGGTGGAATAGTGATCTGAACGGTTTTTAAAATCAAAAAAAAAATTGTGACCTATGGAGAATCCACAAACTAAAAATGTGATTTTTTGACCAATCAGGGACCAACATCCAGGAAGTTACGATCCGATATGCGCGAATATCGAAAGGAACCAAGATCTTTGGGTTATAAAAATGCATTTCAAGTTTCATCAAAATCAGCACAAAACTGTGACCTCCAGAGGGTCCAAAACCTTGATATACCAGATGTTTTCACTATTTGCGTACGAGGGGCGGCCATTTTGTCTGGCAGTTTTGGTCCGATTTTCCCGATATTCGAACCCAACCTTCATTACGATGTAATGGTGATATAATCAAACGTTTTTTGAAATCGGATAATAATTGTGACCTCTGGAGGGACCACAAGCCAAAAACGCGATTTTTCGTACAATCAGGGACCATAATTCAGGAAGTTACGATCCGATATCCGCGAATACCGAAAGGACCCAAGA